CACGTCACTGCTCTGTGTTTTGTGTTGTTTTGGTGTGGTTTGTGTTTTTTGGTTTGTTCTTGTGCTTTTTGTTTTCCTTTGTTTTTGTGGTGTCTTGCCTTGTTTCCTGGATGAGCGTGACAGTGCATAGGACTATGTATTGGTCCTCCACCAGTTTACTTTTGCGGCCATTACAGCAACGGCCCTTGCGTGAATTAATTAATCAATTAATCCCAACTGCAACATGCTCTTAAACATGTTGAACGACCTGGCGGAAGCCACGAAGGCGTCGGACGGAAAAAAAATTCTTGTTTTGGTTTTTTGTCTTGACGTCGCGGACAGACTACCGGTGGCGGTTCGATTCCCCGCTGGTCCGCAGGTAAGCCTCAAAGTGTGGTGACCAGGCGAAAGCCAATTGGCGCCGTCCACAAAAAAAAAGTTTCTTGTTTTGGTTTTTTGTTAGGGGCCAGCGTCATCATGGCACACAAGATGTCATTCTGCATGCACTGAGATGATACTAAGCTATCACCTCTTGTAGTAATCAATCCTTTTCACTCATAACTGGAACCTGTCACGTCATTCAACTGTGGTGTGTGTTTTTTGGTTTGTTTGTTTTTTGTTGTGGGGTTTGTTTTCTGTTTGTGTTTGGGGCTTTTTTGTTTTTGTGTTTTTTGTTTGTTTTCTCTCGGTGTTTTGTTTGGTTTTCTGATTGATCGTGATAGCATACAGGACTATGTATCGGTCCTACACCAGTTTACTTTTGCGGCCACCTACAGCACCGGCCTCGACATGCCTTAATTAATCAATTAATCCCAATTGCAACATGCTCTTGCACATGTTGAACGACCTGGCGGAAGCCGTGAAGGCGTTGGACGGAAAAAAAAGCCCTACAGCTCCCAATGATAATGATGCTTGGAAAAGAATTACTGAGCGGACTCTGAGTGCGCCCTGAATGCCGTAGCTACTGCTGTCACTTCTCACAATAGATCATGTCTCACCTCCTGTTTCACCTTTTATTCGTTTTTCACCACTCTCGTTGCGACCCGGCGTTGTCGGTGTTTGCTTCGAAGTGCCAGGGTGAATGTTATGCCTGAACGGCTGCTCTCTATGATCTGGAGGATCCTGGCTGGCCCTCTTACCTGGCCCGTTTTGCTTCTTTTTCGGTGGCCATTCTCACAATGACACACAAGATGTCATCATGCATGTTATTCCCATTGCTGGTAGCGATCCCACTCCTCTGTGTTCGGTTTGGTTTGTTTTTGGTTGTGGTTGTGTGTTTTTTGTTTGTTTGTTTTGCTTCTTTTTTGTTTGGCTTGATTATAATGGGATTGCTCACTGGACTGTGTATTGGTCCATTATCAGCGCTGTTGAGGCTATCGACGAATTGACGGCCTCGCATGCTAATTTACAATTCATCTTTTTTGCTGCGGTTGAACGTGTGTAACGACCCTGGCGAAAGCCATGAAGGCGTTGGACGGAAAAAAAAATGACGGTAGAGCATATGCAGAGCTTACTGGAATTGTGTTGGAGGCAGCCCTCGATTCGCCGTTTCTATATGGCTGCTTTGGCTTTCTGATGAGGCAGGGGCACATTCTGACGGAGGCAAATCATCACGCACATCGGGGTGGACCATTTGTGCGATAACAGGATGCGCATGCTTATTTTGAATGATTTTCGTAATTTCAAGCATAAAGGCATCAGGGTTATCACCAAAGCTTGGGCTTCTAAAAGTGGCTTATCTAGCACTATGGCAATGAGCATTTCTCCCCCGTCTTTCTTGATGAGAGTCGTTTTGCCTTGCTGCATTTTGTTCAAGATAGCCACAGCCTTGTTTTCGCATCGTTCCGTTCCCATTCTTCGGCCGCCCTTTGGCAGCTCTCCTGTTTGTGCCTGGGCTGTCAGTCATTTGTCGTCGGCAAGGAGCTAACAGCTAAGGCTACCCGGCGTAGGTCGCTGTCCTGGATTTCAGTTGATCGAGACGTTTTTTTGTGTAATGGCTGCCTCCGCGTTCCTACATTTGGATTAGGGTTGACCTGCTTTTGGCTCCATGTACCATTTGTTCCAGACCCGTGTCGGAGGTCCATGATCCAAGGTTGGAAAGAGGAGAGGGGCAAGATGGCAACTTCAGGCCGGTCGTCCAAGAGGCAGAAGTTGGCGGCCAAGACAAAGTGGTGACTCCGCTAAAGGTGCATATGGGGTGTCAAGTTTTTCTTCATCACCACTTGTGGACAAAAGTTGTGCAGTACGTGTCTGGTTGAACAAGATCCATATGATGGATCGGGGGCCTGACTCACACAACCTTGGACCAAAAACCTTTGGAACAAAAAGTGTGGAGTCCGATCGCTTGCACATGGGCATTGCATTTTTGAATCTATGGGGTTTCAAGCTTCAGCGTAGGTTGGGACCACGCCTCTCCCCTTCGCTTATATACTCCTTTCCCGATGAAGTTAAAGCGTAGTTGGGCAAATGCCCAACAAGCTGTTACGTAAGAGGGAAAGCTGGGTTGGGGGGTGGGTCGGGATCCATAAGATGGATCCCCCCTTCCTTCTCTGACTTGGGTGAAGATTGCACTCCCTGCCTTAGGAGTATCCCGTATGGTGGGATGCTTCTATTAAGCGTAGGACGCGTGCAGTGTGACTGTGATCCTTACAAGGCATTCAGATGTTCAACAGGTGCTGACCCCGCGGAGATGGGGGATTCAGATGTCCAACAGGAGCTGCCCTTGTAAGATGGGGGAATAAGCGTAGGATACGCGTCGCGATTCTAAGCCGACCCCGTAGGATGGGGTACCCAGAAGTTCAATGGGTGCTGACCCCGTAAGATGGGGTATCCAGAAGTTCAACAGGTGCTGCCCCCGTAAGATGGGGGACTCGGATGTCCAACAGGGGCCGCCCCTGTAAGATGGGGGAGTAAGCGTAGGATACGCGTCGCGATTCTAGATCCTGCTAGAGAGTGACTCTCTAGTGCCCTGCGTAAACCGACCCCGTAAGATGGGGGATTCAGATGTCCAACAGGGGCTGCCCCGGTATGATGGGGGATTTAGATGTTTGGAAGAAGACACAAATTTATTACTCATTTGGGTAGCCTTCTACATCAAAAAATTTGGCCCGCCCAATCGTTTCACTCTTTCCCACCTTTTATGTCTTACCTTCGGCCCCGGGGTGTCAAATTTTTCTTACCACTTGTGGACGAAAGTTGTCCAATACGTGTCTGGTTGAAGAAGATCCATATGATGGATCGGGGGCCTGACTCACACAACCTTGGACCAAAAACCGTTGGAACAAAAAGTGTGGAGTCCGATCGCTTGCACATGGGCATTGCATTTTTGAATCTATGGGGTTTCAAGCTTCAGCGTAGGTTGGGACCACGCCTCTCCCCTTCGCTTATATACTCCTTTCCCGATGAAGTTAAAGCGTAGTTGGGCAAATGCCCAACAAGCTGTTACGTAAGAGGGAAAGCTGGGTTGGGGGGTGGGTCGGGATCCATAAGATGGATCCCCCCTTCCTTCTCTGACTTGGGTGAAGATTGCACTCCCTGCCTTAGGAGTATCCCGTATGGTGGGATGCTTCTATTAAGCGTAGGACGCGTGCAGTGTGACTGTGATCCTTACAAGGCATTCAGATGTTCAACAGGTGCTGACCCCGCGGAGATGGGGGATTCAGATGTCCAACAGGAGCTGCCCTTGTAAGATGGGGGAATAAGCGTAGGATACGCGTCGCGATTCTAAGCCGACCCCGTAGGATGGGGTACCCAGAAGTTCAATGGGTGCTGACCCCGTAAGATGGGGTATCCAGAAGTTCAACAGGTGCTGCCCCCGTAAGATGGGGGACTCGGATGTCCAACAGGGGCCGCCCCTGTAAGATGGGGGAGTAAGCGTAGGATACGCGTCGCGATTCTAGATCCTGCTAGAGAGTGACTCTTTAGTGCCCTGCGTAAACCGACCCCGTAAGATGGGGGATTCAGATGTCCAACAGGGGCTGCCCCGGTATGATGGGGGATTTAGATGTTTGGAAGAAGACACAAATTTATTACTCATCTGGGTAGCCTTCTACATCAAAAAATTTGGCCCGCCCAATCGTTTCACTCTTTCCCACCTTTTATGTCTTACCTTCGGCCCCGGGGTGTCAAATTTTTCTTACCACTTGTGGACGAAAGTTGTCCAATACGTGTCTGGTTGAAGAAGATCCATATGATGGATCGGGGCCTGACTCACACAACCTTGGACCAAAAACCGTTGGAACAAAAAGTGTGGAGTCCGATCGCTTGCACATGGGCATTGCATTTTTGAATCTACAGGGTTTCAAGCTTCAGCGTGGGTTGGGACCTCTGCTGATATGGTCCTTTCCCGATGCAGTTAAATTTTCCAATTTTGATTTAACAACCCAGCATTCTTAGCGAAATCGTTTCGCAGGCCCATGGTTATAGTCATTGCGTGACACAAGTGGATAGATTTTTGGAATACTTACTGGAACACATGGATGAAATCAGTGGGGAGGCATGTAGTCTTCATGTAGTTTTGCGGACGGGATGCAATGTTGTTATGGTGGCTGGATTTGCAATGGGATTCAAATGTACAGCGATCTTTTTCATTGGCGTCATTCCATTAAATTTGCTGGTGCATAGCCTGCATAGCAATTTTCATACCAGGTTTTTTATTTTACATTGCATAGTTGTGCGGTAAAATTTTGTAATAATCCATAGGTATTTTGGGTTCTTCCCAGATGAAGTCTAGTCATGCAAGATAAAAATAGGGCGAAATCAGTATTTGACTGTGTTTGAAAATGACGTGCACCCCCGAAAACAGGAATCTAACCGGCAAAATGATGATTCATCACAGGATCTTGGGGTATATTTATATTTCCAGAAAACCAATGTTGGATCCGCAACCAAGATTCTAAATCCCATGTTTTGGAAATATATTTCCAGGTACCTCAGTTTTCAATTTCGCATTTTTTGGGTGCCCAACTGATTCGCCCCCATTCATCATGGGGTTCTATCGCAGCTGTCTGAGCTTCACTGGTGCGTTGTAGCCGAATCGTTTCGGGTCATGTATTCCGTGCCTCGTTACCCATGGGATGGTGGGGAATGGGAAAATGGACGTTGAGAGGCAATCAAAAGCAACGAACAGTGACAGACTATCCGTTTGTTGCCACGAAATGTTGGTCTATCCATTCCATGAGCGACGTTGAGGAAAAATATTGGATCAAAAAAGGAAACAGGTGGTTTTTTTGGCGCCGAGTCTGCGCCTCAGAAGTGGGAAACAAGTTGGAGGTTGTCAGGCTGTCGGGTTCATAAAACTACCGGATTTTGGACGGGCATTTACGATCATCGTAATTTGTTCGAAATGTATGATGTTAATTTTGTAAACAGGTTGTTTTTCATTCAATCATAATGTTTTTGGAGTCGTGATCTTGTTTCCTCTTCTTTTTTGTGACCCGGCGGTTTCTAGCAAAATATGCCAAATGAACCCAAATGACAAGACAGTGAATTCAGAACTCCAAGCGGTCATTGGGTTGCAACAACGACTAAGTATATATAAATCAAAACACCATGGTTTGTCGTGCCAGACCATTTGCCCATTTGGCACCCATCAGTGTGGCAGGGGAATTCCGAAGGTGATATATGTCACTTGCTGTACTCAACCATCCAAATGGGGTATGCCAAAAATGATGTTCCCAATTGGGAAACTGATGATCAGCCGATGGCTAGAACGTGGCAGATTATATATTTTCAGATAAACCCACATGAAATTGACATATTGACTTTAGATGTCTTGAATTTGACATTGACGAAGATAAACGAAAATGTGGATGGAAATGGTAAAATACCATTCCTGTGAACCCATGGGCCAAGTTGCTCGCAACCCTCAACTGGTGCAAGGGGGTTAGGTATCAAAATTGTTTGGAAACTAGGATGAAATGACCAGAATCTTCGGTGTCCAAATCGTAGCTATAGTCCATTGGACAAAGTGTATCTCCAGCAGGGCGTTTTCTCAAAATTGGGCTATATAGTTTATCACGATTGATTTCCCGATTGAATGTACCCAACAACCAACACACAGTGGATGAACGGAAAAACGTTGCCATGAAATTTCCATTTCAATTTAATGAACATTTTGAACATTTTCAACGTTTTCAATAAACATTGGATGCACAAAAAAACGTCCAAAACTTGAACAATTTGGACAAAAAATGTTGCTTGGTCAGGTGATCAAGAAGGTTTCGGCCGAAGCGGCTGTGGAGGTGCCAATCAAATTGATGCAATCCCAAAGTGAACAGATCAATAGGTAACCGCGGTTTCGTTTGGGGGGTATTTAATGGTAGGGGGCACGGTTTTTTGTCATGCTCCAAGATTTGTAGGTTTCTTGAATTGGGGGCCCTTTGTCACCATTGGTTTCCCCATTAACAAAATTACCCATAGCTGGGATGAGAACTTGGGAACCCTCATTTCAAACAAATAGAAATTGACTCACCTGCACATTTGTTGAAGTCATTGGTTTGCAATCCAATCTTTTGCGAGTATGTCCGTTGAAGAGAAATTGAACCATTTTAGATGAATTTCGGTACATCTGAACATCTGGCAGTACGAGAGAGCAGGCTGAATCCATACATTTTAGGTCTTGATATCCGTAGAAAAAACACTGCAAATTAGGGAACACGTGATATGCTAAGATGTTGAATGATCCCTCCACGGTGAAAACATCACTTGCAGATGAATCATGCTGTGAGACGAGACCAAAAAAACAATGGACATTTAATGGACAATCAATGGAATGGATATAAAAAACAACTCATACAGTAGTGGTATGTCATTGGAAAAGAGTTGGGAAAATATGGGATGATGGGGTTGACTTGGATTTGCTGAACATGTTTTTTTCCCACAGTGGTTAACCAAGAATCTGGGGAATCATTTGGGTGTCGAATTTTAGTTTTCAAGGGCCTTTGCATAAAATCTAATATTAATATGGGCTCAACACAAAATTGTAAATCCTTCAAGGATCATTTCTACTTCCTGGCATGTACCATTGCGATCCAGCGAACATTGTCCGCTTTTGGTCAATCTACCCGTGATAGGATTGGTAGGTTTTATCCCTCTGGGCAGCAAATTTTGATCCGTTGCGATGTTTCAGATGGAGGGAAAATGAACACACATGTTTTCGTAGTGGTCAGAGTATTCATGAATGTCTCTGGGTTACTTCGGAAGAACATTCACTTAGGGGTCATCCTGCCAAGTAGATTATCTTGTCCTTTTCCTGCGATGGGTTTGTTGCATACCCAACGCAATGATGCAGTTCAACTCACAAAAAAACACGGTGTGGAAACTGAACATTTGACATGACTGTACAGCATTCACTCAGCACAGACCAGAATGAACATCCTGCCACGTGGATACGTGGCTCAAGCCTGCCCCACGGCAAAAGGTGTTTTGCATCGCTCTGCTTTGCACTGGCAGCGGAGCTGTCAGAAGCTCCAGGCCCTACTTGGGCGACCTGAGCGTTGCTACCCGGTGCTGCCGATCATGTCGGCGCTGCTCGATGCGCTGCGCTGGCCCAACTTCATAGCGAAGGAGGACTCAGTGCAGATGGGAACCGAAGGGAAGAGTGGCATCCCAAGGCTCAATGGCGAGCCAGCACGGTTAGCTGAATATGTCTTCCGTGTCAAGGCCAAGCAGCTGAAGGAACGAGCCTTGAGCGATGGTGAACGCAAGAAGCTTGGTCACTTAGCACTGGTGGAAGGTTTGAGCGGCACGGTACTTTGAGCAAGCCTGAAGCCGGAGTGGGGAAGCTCTTGGCTGCCTTTGAGAAAGAGCTGAAGCATCACCGAGCCGAACAGGCTCGCGAGCTTTATGCGGCTGGTTCAGCCCAAACTTGCATGTTGCGCGGCAGAATGTGCAGACCATGTCACCCTACATTCTTCGTCGCCGGACTTGGTACTGATGCCTGCTGGACACCTCTGAGGATGTGAAGCTGCCAGGCATAGTGCTGGCCGAACAGCTGCTTGCTTCAGCCAACATGTCTGCTGAGCACCAACTACTTCTCACAAGCCTTGTTCCCAAGAAGCCCTGCTATGGATATCAGCAGAATCGGAAGAGATCTGGCAAGTGGCATGGGGTGCATTCTATGCCGATGAGTCTGTGGAGCGCGACCAGCCCTACCCGGAGGATTTTCATGAAGAGCTCTATGAGGATGAAGAGTCCTATGCCCCTGAGGAGCTGGACCCACTGAAGGGCACATCGAAGAAGATGGAATTGATTTGGATGGTCCAGACAGCGCCGAAGCCGCTGCTGAGGTGCTTCAAGCTGAGCAGGAGGCTTTCTTCGTCAAGAGGGTGCTGCGCAGAAGGGCAAGAGTTTCCGTGGACCTCCTTCTGCACCCAGGCACTTTGCAGTCTCCGGAAGCCTCAGCTTGGAAGAGCGCAAGGCCAAGATCGCCTCCTTGAAGTCAAGAACGACCTGCCGAAGATGTGGTGCGGTTGGACATTGGAGCGGTGACAGCCAATGTCCTGCATCAAAAGGGGGTGGTCGCAAGGGCAGGACTCGCTCTGGGTCAGTTGGCTCTTCATCTCCTCCAAGCAGGTTGGCATCAAAGGGGTCATCTTCCTCGAAGCAGAGGACAGTGTACTTTGCGATTCATGAGCCTGCTCCTGCGAGTGGATCACATGTTTACAGGGCTTTGCGTGGTGATGGTTTTCATGCAGTTCCTCCACCATCTTCTTTGACTGGCCATACTGGATCTCATGCCCCTCATGAAACTCTTGATGGACATGTGCCACATGATGCTTTGGTGCCTGCACATGGCTCTCGTGTCCCACCTGAAACTAGGCATCAATGGGTTGACCTTTCGCATGGGCAAGGTTGCGGTGATGTACATGCTGAGATGCGTGGTTTGGTGGATGACCTCGCATCTTTGTATTCCAGGCCACTGACGATGAAGGAGGAATTGATGCTGCAACAAGCTCTTGGTCGTTTGTCGCAGCTACCCAACCTTCCGATGGAGATTGACGGATTTGGGATCATTGAGAACCGACTTGCTGTTTTGCTTGCAGAAGTTCTCCTACTTCCTGCCCGAGGTGAGCGTGCACGACCTGATGAGCGTGGACAGCCTTCGTCCTCTGGAGGCACACCTGCTGTGAATGCTGGCTCTGCTGAACAATCTGATGATGCTCCGTTCAGCCCTCAGCCAGCCAACTACCAGCAGACTGTTTGCCCTCATGAGCATGTCACTTCAAGGGGAACCAACAAGTATGTCTTAGGATTGCCAGTTGCTTTTGGGAAAGGAACGTATTCTTCAAGTGCCAGCTCCAAAAGCTGCACCATCAAGTCAGAGAAGGCCGGCACCTGCTGATGAGCCTGCTGCCTCTGAATGCCGACACTATCGAGTGTCATGGCGTGGAACGAACGCCCACATGTGAGGAAGACATGTTTGGACTGCAGCTTTGCGCAGTCAACAGAGCCCCGCAGAGTCCATTCGGACATCACGACCGCCAACTTGGCTGATTTTCTTGGAGGCGAACTCACTGCCGATGAGGCTGTTGGTTCTGCTCGATCGTTTCAGAATGCGGTCGAGCTGAAGCTGTCCCAACTTGAACCAGGTGGCACCATCAACTCCAAGACCCTGATTGAAGCCTTGGCATTGTCTTTGAGTTTAGCTGAAGTTTGTCATGGTGGTCAAAAGGCACCTTCTTCCAGTGCAGCACGCAGTGAGCCTCACGCACCATTGAGGACTCCACTTTTGGCGCCTGCGAGGTCTGATCCTGCCACGCATCAAGGCACCCGACGTGTGCTGCGAGAACGTGCTGTTTTGCATGTTGGTGCTGGTACAAGAATAACCCATGCTATCAGGCCTACGACTATGTCAACTACAGTAAGTGGGTGCTTGAGACCATCGATGACAAGTCATATCGTGAGATGCGTGCCCTGAAGCAGCTGATGGTTGAGATCAGTGAGCATGAAGGCATCCATGTCCATGACAAGATTTTTTTCGGTTGGTGAACGCTTCCTGTATCATGCCACCACTCCTTCATTAACCACTTCAACAAGGGCTGGCTACTTGGCTGTCTCGACACACGAGCCTTCTTGAACTCACAGATGGCACCTTGGCCACAGGCAGTCGAACTGGATGATTCAGACGCTCCACTTTCGCTTCCTCTTGAGGCTCAGCGTCGGCTCAATCGTGCCATGGCCCACAGTGAGGCACTTGGTGGAGACTTGCAACTTGTATCCCACAACGTAACGGGACTTTAAAATCCATCAGACCGTCCTATGGATTTTCAGGACGAGGCAGTGGATGATTACCCCATTGGTGCAGATCCTAGGCCAGTGGACGATCACACATTGCGTGCAGACCTCACTGACGTGGATGATCACACTTGTGGCGCAGACCCCACTGCTGGAAAACAGACATTGGGATACTTGGCCTATCATGAGCTCAAGGTGCACCATGCCAAGCGAACAAGGTCAAGGCCAATGTTGATGCCGTGGCCAAGAAAGACAAGCTGATGCGGAATGAAACGTGTCCCAAGTATTTTCGAAGGCGTCCATGCCTCCCACATGGTTGCAAGATCTTCTTGATCTTCGCTGGCTGTGTCCATACCTCCTGAAATTTGCTCCAGTTTGCGGCCCTTGGTCACCATGGCAACACATCAACATGTCCAAGTCGACAGACACCAGGGCCAAGGTTCTTGAAGACCGCAAGAGGTGGATCCCAGCTGTCAAGTGGATATGCGGCCATGCAGCAGCCTGGAGGGCTGAGAGCTGGTAGGCAGTGTCAGGCCTACAGACTCGTGCAACCCAATTCAGGCTTCCCAGGATGCTTTGCAGCTGATTGATCTCTGCGTTGCTTGCCAGGGCTTCTCGGTGTTTCTTTTTGGTCATGGTCAAAGGAATTGGCCTCAACTTCGCCGCAGTGTTGGGACAGGTGACTGCGATCCCCTGGTCGCGTTGAGCGATCAGACGGCCGCACCAGGTGAAATGATCACCATTATCCAAACTCCTAAAACGCAGCTTCGCTTGCATGTTCTCCATCACCTTCTGCATAGAATCATCTCCGCACCAAAGGAGATCGTCAGTGGAGCTTTTTCCAAAAACCTCTCGGTGCATCTCGGGTGCCATATACGACAGGTTTGTGGGCAATCATCAAAGAGACTCGAGGGTGTCCAAAATGAGGAAGGGCGCTGGAGCACCGTCATCGACAACAGTGTCCTCCTCCACAGCCTCAGCAGGAAACGCGGATCTCGTGAGGTGATTGTCGAGATCATGAAGTGAGTGCAAAACTCCTCGGTCCAGGCTTGGGCTTTCTTGCACCTAGATCCACCTTCCAAAGGCTCATGTAGGTGCTCTCTGCTGCATCACGAGGCCAGTGCGCTCCTTGTGCAGGAGGCCAGAGGTCTGGTCCTTCAAATTGAAAGTGCAAAGGTCAACATTGATCTTTTCAAGAGATACTCCAGTGATCTGGTCATAGTGCTCTTCATGATTCAGGAGCTTGTCCATCTCTGTGGTTTTCCAGATCACTGAAGGAGCAGATTTTTTCCACCACAGTCGCCTTCTTCTCATCGAGTGCAATACCTTGATGCGACATGTTCAGGGGACGCCTGAGACTGGATTGTTCTACAAGTACAATGCCTTTGACTTTGACAAGTCGGTGATTCTGAGCAGCTACTGATTCAGAAGAAGCTAAGTCTGGTAAGACCCTTGGACACAGTTCTCAGTCTGGCCACCTGATTTGTCTGGCTGGACGGTTCTGGCGTGGTGCACCCCATTGAGTACCACTCCAACGTGACTCGACGTCTTTGCCGAAGTACCCTGCAGTCTGAGACGCTCTGCATGGTTCACTGCTATGGAGAAGCTGAGCATTTGAGGAGCGTACTGCATGGTCTACGACGTGACCATCAAAGTTATGACTGGAAAGTGCGAGCCATGGACTCCATCCGCATCTACCACTCTACCACTTCACTAATTGCCGAAGCCTTGAAACACACCTGCATCAAGGAGGTACCCATGTGCCATAGGATGCAACCACCCATAGAGACCAAGGCAATGGTCGCAGATTGCCTCACAAAGAAGATGAAAAGCGAACAAATGGAAGTCCTGCGATGTGAAGGCACTTTCGCCTTTGATATGAACAAGGAGAACAGCAAGAAAGCGATGGCAAAAGCATGCAGCATGGGCAATAGGAATGAGATGTCCATTTCAGGTCTGAAAAAGACCATGGATGTGGAAACTGAACATTTGACATGGCTGTATAGCATTCATTCAGCACAGACCCGAATGAACATTCTGCCAAGTGAATACGTGGCTTGCCCCACGGCAAAAAGTGTTTTCTTCGCGCCATTGCATCGCTCTGCTTTGCACATGGTTTCAAACTGCATATGCGCAAACTTTTGCAGTCTTACCAACAGCAGCCAAGACTCACTCCACCGTGAACACACACGTGTTCTGGAGGGCCACTTTCCAACAAATTCCGTTTGTGATTGATGCCTAAATAGTGTTTTGGTTCTACTGATGTTGAAATGGGTCGAGATGTAGCTGCCCGAGCAAAAACCGCAACCACCCATCCTTTTTCATGACATTCTCAACTATTCGCATGGCGAGATTCCATTGCTTCACCGTGGGCTTCCAGGCCAAATTGGAAGAAGAGATGTCTGAGGTGTCTACAGGTGGGAGATGGAAAGATTTGCCAAAATTTGATTAAATGGTAGGTCAATGGTGTTTACGTTCAATTTGACCCTTCTATCCTGTTGAAGTATCTGAACTGCTTTCAAGGTTTCAAATTTCATTAATCTTACTGATGTGTCCAAGCAAATTCAACAGGAAGTGGAACGCAACATAGAGCATTATCCACTTGACGGTTTCAGAAACGATCAACACAAGTCAGCTGTTAGACAAGTGCCAACTGGTCTATGATTGTAGGGCGTTATACTACCTAATATAGTGGCGAGTTGTCAAGACACATTTTAGATGGTCAAACCACATCTTGTGAAATCACACGTGAAATCATAATCAATGATGAATCCCCATTGCAAAGCAACCACTGCAGTAGGGGATTCTCGTCATTTTTGACACTGCTCAAGGGGCTAGTAGGTTTCGTTCCTATAGTGGCAGCCTTATGATGATGGTGGGACGGGATGCTGGGGACCCTTCGGCGTTCGAAGTAGGGGAAGGGGTCATCATGTTGGTGCTGGTTGTTTAACTTGCAATCCTATGCTCTCATCCAAGTGGAAGACATTGCAAACAACCATTTGGATCCATTTGGCCATGAATTGATCGGTTCTATTCAAATCAAAGAAATGCAAGTCCTAGTTGCACGATGAGGGAAAAAAACTCGGCATCGTCCAGTGTGCCACTTGCCGGGAACCCAACCCAACCCTGGCCATTTTGAGGATCCATAACCTGGTAAACCCTCCAGTTGGATGTGTAAGCATGATGATTGCCCACTTGCGTATTATATGTATATATATATATATATATAGCATTTACATTCATAGGATGTGCACAGTTATGTATTATGTATGTATGTATGTATGTATGTATGTATATATATACATACACATATCATGTGTATATACACAATTTGTGGCCAGATTGCCACCCTGAACAAAACATGTTGGATCATCCGATTGTTGACCTCTCCCCAAGCACCTGACACGCCGAACGCCGAGCAGATCTCTCGACCACCTCACCAACAGGCGACAGCGTACTGACCTGCTGTACCTTGATGTGCATCCCACTTACGTGGGTAACAACCATATTATACCCAGGTATATCATGATATGTGGGTTATTATACCCAGGTATTATACCCATGTTAGTTAGTGGTAGATACCTTTGTTATACATGGGTCATTCACCACTTAACTGGGATGCGCTTGCGAGTATCAAAATCTGGGATCGTTATTTTGGGGACGGCGAATGAGACATGGTTGAAACCACCAACCAGTCAGATCAAACTGAAACACCCCGGGCAAAATGTATACAACATCTAAGGTAGCCGAAAGCGGAAATTGTTGGCACCCTGGCCGCCCTGGCCACTAGCATGGGTTATTCTCCTTAATTCATTATTTTCCTTCACAGTTGTTCCCCTTCATGGTAGTTCGCCTTCATGATTGTTCCCCTTCAAGATTGTTACCCTTCATTCAGGTATGTAAATGTTCCAAACCCAAGACCATCAAATCAAATCTTCTTGAAACGCACATGCTGAATTTTTCTTGGTTGCATTCCCGCTTTTGCGAGTGATACCCGCGTGTGCGTGTGTTTGCTGGTTCTATCCTCTCGCAAAAATCCCGGCGATGGAACATCCACGATTTGTTCGATGATTTTATTCTTGAACACTTGGGTCCGCCAGGCAGAAGTACCAGAGGGTAGATCAAATGTGCAATCCCCACAAGGTCCAGTACCCGTTTCTCACATTTTCTCACAGGGTACCTAAGGACTTAACCCGTATCCACATCACCAGCCAGGCACAGATTCAAAGGCCAGCCGGGGAGTTTGGACCTTGGGAGGGCTCACCAATCATGAATTCATGCCATACGGACTGGGTGAACCTTATTGAATGGCTGGTGCACAGTGGTCAAAGGAGAGAATTTGGAACATATTTGTTGGAATGCCATGTCCCACTGAAAATGACCAAGCAAGAGGGGGTTGTAGACAAGGGAGCCGTGTGGAGACCAGGCAGCTCCGCAGAAACCGGACCAAGGTGAGTAGAATGTCAATTCTTGCAGGTGAGTCAGGATGGCTTGCAACTGTTCGTCTCAATCAGTTTTGAATCATGCACGTAGGCCCACAGTTTGAACGGCACTGAAAGCAATCAGTTGCTTCTAAGACTGTTGCTCACCCTACGGGTGTGCCAGGGACTTTTCAAACAGTGAAAACCAGGGAGAGTCAATGATGATGTGCCAAGTGCAGGGGCTATAATGTTCAATGGAATTTTAATATCACACATACATATATATAGGGCATATGTATATAATTACATATGGTGTATATGTATATATATATGTATATATATATATGTATATATATATATGTATATATATATATGTATAATACGTGTATACATGTGTATACATAGATGTGTATATATGTATATATGTACATGTCTCAACACACACACACACATATATGTATATATATATATATACACATATATATATATATACATATACATATACATATACATATACATATCGATGACATCATCAGCAGGGGAGGTTGTATCAAATCTGGTCACACTGTTAAAAGGACAGTTCCTGGTGAGAGTTGTATGGCCGAGTCTGGATTTTAAGGCTATCCACGCGGGGGAAGGATCATTTCTTCTCCCGACAAAAAATTAACGAGACACCATGATTCAGTTTTCTGGATCTATTCATTTTTCAAATTTCCACAACATCGGTCTGTTCCGATATTTCCCTGGGAAACTAACATAACTATGGGAAATCACCATTTTTGATGGGAAAACTCCATAGATCGAAGTCAATAGGGGGCAATTTCCTCCGGGGACCTCAGAGGTGGAGTGCCCAAATCTGCCAGGGATCGCATGGCATCAAACAGCACGTCACGCGCGGGTGCCAAATCTGGAGAGCCTTACCGGCCTTACCACATTTTGGATCCAAGCCAACTGCCATTGGGGGTGCACTTGGGGTCATTCATGGGTATAGTCATGATGATTTAATCATGGTTACAAATGATATTTCTCATGAGTTAGAGTACACACCCCAGAATTGTGGCCATATACTTAGACCTCGCTTATCGAGCGGAACTCGTGCTTTTAGGCAGCAAAGATCTGGGGATTTAAGCAACCAACATGGAACCGACAGAGCCTGGGGAAATTGACACACACACACACAAATGGACTGATGTTATTAGCACCATGGCAAGATGACCAGGAATAACATCAATAGCTAAGACAAGAACACAAGAAATGGGTTTGAAGCAATGAGACAGTGTAAGAAAAGGATGCCGTTATTCTTGGAAGCAAATTTCGACTACTGGAAGAGGATCCCCTTTGAAAATGATCGGCGCTGGCCCGGAAGTTTCGATCCTTCTTGTTACCTGCTTAGATGATTTGCATAGGGTCGAGCCACCCTGAAAGGGGACCGCTGCCAGAGGCGGAAAATGTATGAACATATTAGTTTCTGGCATGATAAGTGTACTCCGAGCAACCCGAAATTCGGACTCAGCCCTACAAGGTGCTACAGCGATTACAACCCGGGGCTTGCTTTCCCTGTTCGGAACCTAGAACATCGCGTGGACATTGTAGGCCGGAACCACTACGTTTGTGTCTGTGGCACTTGGCAATGATTCTTGCACATGGCTCAGAACAAGTTCTTTAAATAATGAACTTGAGAATTCTGTGGGATCAAACCCAACAAATAGACAGATGGCACCTGTAGATTTGATACTCTTATCAAGCATGATTGGAAGTTTGAGATTGCAAGTTTGCAAGTTGAAGTCTGGATGTTCACCCAAAACCCAGGGTTTTGGAAGGGTTTGGGCTCCTCAACTGTCAAACTCCTGTTCTAGTGCTTCATGGCTTGGGGATTCCAAGTATGCAGAGTTCTTTCGAGAGTTTTCCTGACCATCAGCAAGTCTTCTGTCCCTGTGAAGGGCACAAGTTGGATTTCGAATCTTCCCCAGGAACAATTGGATCATCGTCTCATTCTTTTCCAGATCTGGAATATCTGCGCCTAAATTGGCCTCGTGTGTCAGGGTATGCGGATACTGTATGTTTCTTACAGGCTAAGGGGTGTCACTCCCAAGGTGACTATCGTGAACCTGGATGCAGGGAGCCTCAAAATTTACCCGGGAAGTGGAAACCGATACGATTTGCTTGGGTTCTGAAAAGAAGGTAGCCCGATTCCGCGTTTGTCCTTGTACAAATTGCAATAGATTGGGATATACCTGATATACCATTGTATACCCAATTTTTGAACACACCCATCAATATCGTATACATGAGAAAGTCAATGTTCCCTATGGGTGCGAAGATCTAAATGCGAGTATTTTTCACTTGCATGTTAAGATATTCAGAGGGCACCGCAGATCGCATGGGGATCATGTGCCCTGGTTTGACTTCCATATCCTTTCATCATTCAGAAACCTTTGATGCCGCCCACTGTTGGATAGATCCCATGTTCCAACATGATGCAAACTACAAGCAAATTTTAGGGAACCCAATCGTTGTGTCTCTGATTCTTACCAGTAATTATTCAATCCCGTACATTTCTTGTCAGGACAATCGTTTGGCCTAAAGCGGTTTATTGGAGATCATACGTGTTACCATTGCATACGGAGTTTTGTCACAGGCGATGAAATAGTGCAATGCAAGGGGTTTCCAAGAAGTTTTTTTTGCCAATGCTCGCCTTGTCATCATTCAAATCTGCAGGTGTATCGGTTTCACTACCCACAATTTTGTGTTGGTAGATGGCTGTTGATTCAACACACCTTAGGAGATCCCCGAAGCTTTGCTAGCTCCCGACTTGATTGTTAGGTAAACCAAGTGGATAGGTACGTGAATTACTTGAGTTGGATAGGTACTTAGTACAACTTTATCGTTTTGCCATCCCTCGGATATATCAACCAAACCAGCTAAAAGAAAATATCTGGGTATCTAAGATCAGCCATATCACATTCCATATTGTTGATGATGTATCCCTGTATCCCAGTATATCCCATTCTATCCGATTATATGCCCCCTATCTCCCCAATCTCCGGTTGGTTTTACACCCAGGAATACCGACACGTTGACCCGTATCTGGCTCGGGACCCTGAGATCCCGCAGATAGATAGAGCGATAGCCGATAGATAGAACAATAGATCGATGGAACGATGGATCGATAGAAAAAATCAGACAAATAGATGGATAGATAGATAGACGGAGAGATAGAAAGAAGGAAAGATAGATAAATACTGTTTGTACAAATGGCCACTGTTGCTCCATTGGGTGGCCTGGCATTTCTCAAAAGGGGACATACTACTGAGTGGGAACCGCTTTTCAGGATTTACCCAAATCACTGGTCATCACTTTCCAGGAAGACACACAAATTTGATCCCAGGCCAGGTGTGTTAAAATGCTGACCTGGCTTTGTCCATACCTATGGGCATACCCAGGAAAATGATCATCCACCAATCTTGGGCGAGCAACCCGATTTGCAGACAAACCCACCTTCAGGTTTTCGTTGCTTGCATCCCATTTACATTGGATACATCCATTTGAATTCCAGTGGCTGTCAGCACATATGTTCCCGATCTCTTGAGCACTTGTTGTTGGACATTCCAGGGATTAGATGAGAGGCGGACCAAATCTTCAATGAATCTTAAGTGAGAATCTTGTATGTTGCTACTACTACTTCGGAAATTTGTCACCGTGCAAAAGCAGCCTTTCAGGAATTTCTGATGGTTAATTTTGGAGACAATTTGTGTGCTGTCTAAAAGATAAAGCAATATATATATATATATGACTATCAATTTTGGCATGAACAGAATCAACCAGTGGTTGGTGTTGGCGGGGTTGGTGGGGTTGGTGGCTTGAGATGTGGTTTCTTCAACTGGGGGATCCCCAAAACCAAGATTTTCAATACTAAAATGGTCAAATCTGGGATGATTTGGGGTCCCATTTTGGGGAACACTCCCATTTTGGGAACCTCCAGATGATCCAACATGCTGATGGGTTTTGTTGAAGGCTTTAGTCTGAGAGACCTGCTGTAGTGTTTGATGGTAAATTTGCAGGGAATGTCATGGCATCCAAAACAAATGGCACGGGTGAATCAGGACCTGAACCATGTTTCTTGACCGCCTTGATTGCTGGACATGGTCACACAGAAGCGAGGTAACAAAAAACCTGCCTATGTTCCTGGAGACAATTGAATGGCACCAGAACTTTTGATAGAAACACAATGAGATCCCTGTCCCCAAATATCCTAGTCTCCTCTTTGTTTGTCGCCCATACTTCCGTCCCAAGGATTGATGCAGTGGGGCCACCCAGATCGGAATCACCATCCTGGATTTTTCCGCAGCCGTTTCGCATCAGTAAAATGCAAAAACTAATTTACACTTGTTTTTGGGCAGTTGATTGGAAATCAAGACTCTTTAGCCGCTAGATTGACTGTTTCAAGCACTATGCGAGGGGGCTCCTGAGGGTTTTTGTTCGGGACCTCTTCAGAGCTATGCCAGCTGCGCCATGGCATGCAATAAGCTGCGCTTCACTTCTTCACTGGCCTCAGGATGAGCACGCTTGAGCTTTGGTGGAGTCATCTGACTGATGCGTTAGTGGCTCACCAGGCTTTGGCCAACTCTCGCCATGATTTCACCCAGGAAATTGTCACGCTTTAACAGCATTGGACCTCCAATCTATGCAGCGTGATTGTGAAATTTTCGAAACAGAACCCAAAATTTGATGGCAAATTGCAAACTGGGTGAACTCTGGTGACAGACCTGTGCCTGCTGCAAATCACATATTTTATCTTGAAACAGATGCGTAGACCTATGCGATTAAGTAAATTGACTATACAATTACATGACAGTATACTGTTCCGGTGCAGCACTACGTTTCATAATATCCTTCCCAATGAAATGGACAAAGTGACTTTTTCCAATGGCCGTTGTGATTCCAAGGAAGACTCCAACTGAAGAAACCCCTGATGAAATCCATTCAAAGCTAACCACCAGTCACTAGACAATTCGGCTGTGAGCAGCTTGTGAGGTGGATTCGAGGTGGATTCGAAACTAGGATCATCCAGGATCCACATCATTGCAAGATGAACAGAAAAGGCCTGCAATTCTCATTGTTTCAAATGAACCATGACCAAAAAGGTCATGGTCATTCATCAAGTGACCGCATGTTTGCAAAAAGTGGCATTTTACAAGACGAGAGGTGAAACAGCAAATGAATGCAAATGAAGCATGTTTTCCTTCAATGCGTGGGTCAAAAAAATTGGGAACCCGAAAAATGGATACAGTATTATATCTGCAGGATCAGGCCACAGCCTGGTGAGAGATGAGTTCAGCGTCATGAATGAAACAGCTGGAGTGCTCAAGACATGCAACTGCAAAATGCCAATCGAATCTGGGTGAGTCGCTAGCCAATGCATGAGCTCTGGCAGGATCAGCTAAGTTTTGGTGTGAAATATTTCGCTGCACCCTCCGAATTGCAAACGCTTCTGGTTGGCCGTAGCATAGATCTTATCAAAGAGGCAACCGGCAAAAACGGTGGGTGTGGTTTCACTCATTCCGTAGTGCCCTCAGTTTGTGCTTGAAATGGTTGAAATCTGTTGGATGGCTGCGACCATTTGTGAATTTTGCAAAAGTGTTGCGTAGAATTTGGCGCAATGAATTGCTTCTCAAATTCATACCAAACATATCCAAACATGTCCAATTTCAAACATGCAGCTGGTGCATGGGGTGCAACCGTTCTTGTAGGGCATTTCCACTCCAGATGTGTGGGACAACCTGCTTGTTGCCATTGATCCGTTTCATGTTGAAATCGCGGTGATATGAAACTGTGCCGCTCTACATAACAGGGTTCATTAGTTCAGCATTTCAAAATTCTTTGGGGTTTTAGAAATGGACCACCAATTGTTCAGTATTGTACTTCAGATGGATGGATTGCGAAGCATGTCGTGAATTCATTGTTTGCCGGTTCTGTAGGTCGACGATGCGGTCAAGTGCCCCAGATATTTGCCAGTGCGTCGAGATGTTTCTATGATGGGAAGTGGGTTCTCCGAAAAAAATGTGGAATTGCAGCAATTGGCCAGTTAACGGCACTTGCTCCGCAGAGGTGTTCGTGGCTACTTCGGAGCCTTTTGGCCCTGGTGATGTACGTGGCAGTGACTAGGTGAGGTATTGTGGGTGTTCGCAAAATTTGGAGGATGACATGTACAAATTTTATCAAAATTTCAGATGGTGGCAAAACCATATCTATTGCTTTTAATTCGTAATCCTTTAAGTATCATTTGCTGAACTGCTCTAGCCACCCTGCCATGGTGTTTTTTTTTCATGTTTCGGTTTCGAAATCAAATTAGCAAAAAACATGTGTCTGAGATTTGAAGTGGAAAACGACCAAATCCGTACAAATGGGTTCATTTGGATTTTGTTGGCCATGTTGAGCACATTGTTTTGCATTGGTTTGCGGCAGGTCCTCCTGCTTCGTTGCCAACGCTCCTGCGAGCACAGGCGGTTCAGTTGGCCATGTTGGGAACACGTGTGGGGCAGCGAATCTTGAGTCTATGACTTTGGGGAGCACAAATGCAACATGGCGCCACTTGAGACAGCTTGAATTTTTGAGGTGCATTGCAGAAAAAATATGCTTGAATTCTTGAATACATGGGAACTGCACCCATTGATTTGCTACCTACAGACTGTAGCAATTACATACAGACACCCAAAAATCATCGAAAAATTGTTCCAGTTGCATTTCATGTGATTGCAGGCTTGCGAGGGGGTACTTCGAGGGTGGCAAGAGCTTGGTTCTTGGAGTGGGTGAATAAAATGTACCCGACATATAGCAAGTTAGGATCGGCATGTTATTGGCAGCCAGGAATCTATTGACGTGTATTGAAGTGATTGCTTGAAATTGCATGTGTTTGAATCGAATTAGAGATCCACCAGGGACCATTGCAGATCAGTTTTTGACCGAGGCAGCAGTTCAGCTGGACATTCCCATGAAAGAATCTGACCTCACTCAGCCGAAGGAGGAGGGGTGTCGGAGGTGTCGGGTGTCGGAGGTGTCGTCTTTTAAAAACAAAAATCTTCTGCCCTGAGACCCACTGAGCTGCAGAGGAACCTGATCGAACGACTTACTTGGTGGGCTTTGTGCCCTTTGCTGAGCAGCTCAATGGCCGGGTCCAATCCTAAGCTGACATGAGGATGAACGTGTGAAAATCCCAAAGCATCCAAAGCCAAAGGTCATCATGTGATACGGCGGCTCAATACGAACGAATCTCTTCGAAATTCGGTGGTCTTTGATTGCTTTCTACGTAGGTATGAGTAGGAACTTAGGAAGAAACATAGCCTCATTCATTTTGTTTTGGGAGTTCTTTTTGAGCCTAGACAGCCTGGACCTGCACAGTTTGGATGCTGGCAACGCAGCTCTCTGGTGTTCCAGTTTCCCCAACATTTCAATCTTATCCCACTGGATTGTCCGAAGCACTATCGAAGTACGTACTACTTTTTCAAAATCTTCTTCAACAGTATGCAATATGTAATTCAATACGTAGTTACATGCTTGAGAGCAAGAAATCCGAGCAACTATGACCAGATCGCCATGATCTTCTTCTTCGTCCTGATCTTGCAGGAGTATTTCGTCGGCAAGGCTCTGCTATTTCTTGCACTCGAGTTAAAACATGTCTACAAAAATGAACAGGAAATCCAGGGTTTTTCGAAAGGCCATGTGGGTTTCCTGAGAGTTGTTCCCTTCATCAAATTCTGACTGGCTATTGAGGTGGCACCCGCCTGTGACCATGACAGTCTGTAATTGGGTGCCAACACGGATATTGAACTCATTTGTCAGCCCTGTGCAGGGCCTCTTTGAGCAGATCTCAGACCTGTTCGGGTCTGGCTGATGGCTGCTCCTTGAGGTTTCTTGGGTTGAACAGTAAGGGGACAAAGCCAAATGCTTGCAGTCTTGGAGACAGAATGACGGTTCTATTACTGAAAGCGCAGGAAGCTAGACCGGCTTTGCACAGTTAGAATGTCAGCATTCTCAAAGCACAACGACCGAAGCACGAGCATTGCATTCATTTTGTGCCCTTGCTGCACAGGTCCCATAAATGACAGGCGAGAGAAGCGGAGTAATAGTTGCAATTTTCTTCGTCTCACAGCTTGTGGTGCAAATGGCACAAAGCAATGATGAAATGACATTGTCTTTGTGGCTTCAAGCTGAAAAAGGGTGGACCTAGTTATCTTGGTGACTCCCATTCAAAAGTTGGTCAAATACTGCAGAAATGCACTGCCAATGCACCGCATTTCAGATGCACACTTCCTGCAGATTCCTGCAGATTCTGTATGCGCGGTCGGGAATGCGTGCAGACACACACACACACAAACACACACACATTGACAATTACTCGAGAAGAGTATGACACAAAAAGCCAAGGGACATATTATTTGTAGATTTCTTGCTAAATCTCACACCCTGGCTTCACATACTTCTTTGTGTCAGTCTCACATTCCTAACACGACATAAGGCCTTCGGGCTCCAACATCCTGAGTCCCTAGAAATTTTCACAGCGAAGTTTTCGTTCGGTTGAAAAGAAGTCCATGCCATCTTCGCTGACGATCATTTTACAGAAGTGTTCCTTGCGGTCTGCTTTGTGAAACATTTCGGAACATCTTGAAGAATCGTGTTATTCTTTGGCTGCCTTGTATGTTTCTAACCTGCCTTCCAGATGTGCTACTTTCCTGAGAGGCAAGAGTGGACGAATCTGCAGCTTTGAGGCTCCAACGCACCGGGCGACCCGAGTTTTGTTGGGGAAAAGTCAAGGACTGAAGGGCCTGAAGGGGGATTCAGAGTGACCTCTGGCTGCGGCTGCAGAACAGATTTTCAACTGAATGTGTGGAACGTTGGCTTGGGGATGCTGAAGTGCTGCTGACCGTCAATTTACTTGTAGGCTAGTCAGTCCGCTATTGGGTGTTGTTGGGCGCGGGTCGGATGGTCACTTAGTTTATGACAGCCTATGAATCAGTTTACATATTTGTTTGTACTTATGTGGTTGGTTTCGTGTCTCTGCATGTCTATTTGTTCGTCCTTTCTCTCTTTGTTTTAGAGTTCATGTCTGAAGACAATTGTGCAAGCAGCATTCTGATGCTCATGTTTTTTAGTACTTAAAATGAGCCATCGGGGCTTCACAAACAAAGATAGGTACTTAATTTCTTGGAATGCTTGAGGGTGTATGTTCGAAATTCTAGCTTGCCTAAAGGCACTATGACGGAACCCTTTTTTCGCCCATTGAAGTGGCGGTGTGCGGCTCAAGCTCAACTCATCAACAAACTCTGTCAGACTCTGTCAATCATCGATTCCCGATGTCAGCCTCCAAGCTCGAGAAGAACATTGCCAACCTAGAGCGGCGCATGCGCGAGGAGTTCCACTTGAAGTTAGAGGAGGCGCTGCGTCCTTGTCTTGAACGCTTGGAGGCTCTGGAAGACAAGCTGTCCGGGAATCCTGTGGAGCAGAGCAATGTGCAGATTGCTGAGAAGTCGCCCCAGGTGAAGAAAATGCTGGGAGATCCGGTGGTTCCCAAACCAGATGAATCGGACCTCGATGAGCCGGAATCCGATGCTTCGAAGATTGTCCCGGCTGTAGAACTTCAGGTGAAAGGCGAACCTGCTGATGATGCCATGGAACCTGTGGCTTTTTTAGAGACAACTTGGAATTTGGTCTTGGTGCTGGGTCATGCAGGTGTAGGCTGGATCGATGTTCTGATTGCTTGGCTACTCCTTTTTGCGAGTGCTGGCATGCAGATCAGCTTTGTTGGGATTATCCTCAATCCTTTTTTTCTGGGAGAGCCGTTTGATGATAGGCAGATTGAAACAGCAGAAAACTGGCGTCGAAGTGTGGCGCATGATCATACATATCTGGATTTAGCACAGACCAGTCTAACCGCACGGGTTTGCAATGGTGATGGCTCACTCATTATTTCCACTGATCAAGCTGCGCTCATTCAGCAGATCAACAATTTTCTGGGCCTCAAACCGCATGAGCTGGAAGCTACTGGATTTCGATATGGCATTTTAATGGCGATGCTTTGCATCTTGTTGTGGTGCCTCTACCTTTGCAATGAGTTTCGCTTAATTTTCCTCTCGTTGGAAGCAGTGGCTCAAATTCCAAGATCGAAGACAACTGAAATCCATGATGGTCGTTTCAAGACCATTTCACATGCCCGGTTTTGGACCTACTGCCTTCTGCGGTTCTTACGTGCATGCATTGCTGCAGCATTGTTATATGCTGGTGTGTTGTGGCTTGGGTACACCACATCAATTTCCGATTTGATTTTAAACGCGGTCGCCCTCGGGGCAATTCTGGAAGTGGATGAAATGGTCTTTAGCGCTCTGATGCCCAAGAAGTTGCAGCTGAAGGTTCAAGACCTCGAGGCCATTAAGGTTCAGTATGGTCGCATGCGCAGTCAAGTGGAATCCCTCTGCATTCTGGCGATTTTGGGTGGACTGCTGGCTTGGCCTTGGTTTACCATCGTAGATCCCTTGGGGAAAACCATGGAGCTGGTGAAGCAAGCTCATTGCGGTGGCCATCAAGATTTTGTGGTTGGCCTAAATGAAGATCAAAAGATGACTGTTGGCTTCATGTCAGTTCCCTTCGAAAACAGTACTGGCCAAACATTGACACAGCTGGCCATTGACGACTTTATATGGCGAGAGGACTGTTTGCCAAGATAATATTGTAGGATATTGTAGGACATTGTAGGATTTGATCCTATTCAGAAGGTGAGTGTTGAGATTTTGTCCTCCTGACGAACTCCTGCTGTGGTCTTGTTCTCCAATGTCTGCCAATCAACTTGCTATATGATGTGATGTAAGTGATGTAAGTGATGATAAATTTCTGGCGCAAGAACGCAAGATTGCCCAGGGTGCCTTTAGATACGTATCATTCTCAAAAGACTGATGTCCATATTGAATCACCGTAGTCACCAACAACAAGTTGAGGGTCGCCAATTCATGACATCCCTGAGGATGAGTCGCCTGCAACATACATTACGTTCCATCGCGACATTCGTCGCTTCCAAAGATATCGAACGCAACCCATGAAGGAAGCATCCATGGAACACTCGTGGTGTGCTGACTTTGATGGCTTTTTTGCGGATGGAAACAATGCATTCTCAGAATTCTCAGATATTGCCGATTACTACAGACCGTATTTGATGTCCGCGCGGCTGGGTCTCGGTTTCACCGACAATGCTTCATGTGTAAGTATGCAGCACAAGTGTGACGATGAGGACGCGCAACTTCTGCGCTATGTCTGTGGCAGAACGTGCTGCACGGATCCACTACGAAGCCCTTGGTACAAAGTCCCCCAGAAAGGATGTCCAGCAGCATGCCTCGCAGATGCTGCTCGTGGGGTCAGTGGAACTGTTTGTCAGGAATCCAACATCACCATGAATCCAACCTGGCACAAGTTTTGGGATCACTATCCCCAGGTGCTTTCCGCAGAACTGGGACTTGATCTTGCTGACAATTCCTCAAATTCTGTAGCTGCGCGTGTGCTGGAGATGGTGAATGTCTTCAAGACCTACGGCTGCCCTGCTTTGAACATTTCAAGATATAGCATGGAGGTGGTGATGTCGACCAAGTGGTGTGCGGGGTACGAGGAACTCCAGGCCCCGTTGGCTCCGTTTTGCCCTGTGACCTGTGGCTGCACGAATCTCACAGATCCATCGCAAGCTCCAGCAGGGTGCCCTGAGTATTGCAATGCACCTTGCGAGGACCAAACCTTCCCACCGATCAACGAAGAAGTGGCCAATTGTGCTGATGGAGCAGCGCTAGGATGGTGTGTGGCTGATGAGTGGGTCCAGGTTTGCCCCAAGACTTGTGGAGCTTGTGGAGCTTAGAATTCTTGAAACATCTTGAAACTGTGCAATCCCAAAGGGATGACTGTCCAATGACTCCATGAGTGGAAAAAATGCTTCAGGAATCATGGCCTGAATAGATGTGAAGATGTTGACAAAATAATACATAAAATACATTGGCAATATTTGGCAATATTTGGCAATCATGGTTAGGTTTGATAGGTCCGATAGGTCATAAGAATTGAGACACTTGATTTTTGCAGTCACTGGTCGTGATTTTTGCAGGACCATGCCGACCTCCCGAAAGACGGCCCTGAAATCTGCCACTTCCTCTACTCACTCTGCTCGCTGAGCCGCTGCAGCCAGGGTTTCAACATCAGGACACCCAAGGATAAAGTATTCCGGTGTACAACAACACACTATCATCACACTTTGGTTAGGTAACGCCCTTGGAGACAGCGGCAAAATTCTCAAAAAGCTCTTCAGCTTTTGATGGCACCCTAATTTCTGGTCCCAGGCTCAGTATGAGAAGAACATCGGCAAGGGTGGGCCTAGAAACTTGGCGGAGAGTTTGTGGGTCGGGATGGGTTGGATGTTGCCTGATTGTCAACATGGGCTCGTAAAGTAGTTTTCTTGGTGCAGTGGGGTCGTCTGGCAGTGGAGAATGATGCAACAAAGGAAGGCAAACTGTGAAACTTACTTGCTTTTGCCGCGCGCTTCAACCGTGCTTCCAAGGGACCATCCTCCTCAAAGCTACTGTGAACAATTGGAATCCCCCAAAAGGCACAATTTTGCAGGGCTTTCTGCTAGTGACCAGCAAGAGCTTTTGGAGATCAGGCAATTCTGGCAAGAAGGAGTCGTCTGGGAGCCCAGGATTTATCGGAGAGCTGCTGGTTGCTGTTTTCCTTATTTCGACCTGTAGGTGCGTACGCCTGTGCGACCAAAGATGGCACACAGTAGAGAGTTTCTCCATATTCTCAGTTTCCCCTCCCAGAAGATTTGAGCAGGTATTGTAATTTATTCAAAGATATTGATATACGAGCTAGCATTTCACTGATTTCAAAGGATTTTTTTGCATCTTTGGATTACTCTGGTCCGGCAGTTGCTGTGCTTTCGAAGACTTTCCTTGCTGTCGCTGTTCTCTTTTTGTTTCCCACTGCATCCCGCAATAGAAAAACACTTTCAGCAGATGAACAGCTCACTGTTCAGGAGCCAGTTCACGGTTGGCCCGGTCGTCCTTGCGGTATTCCTGTTTGTGGTCGCGCGGAGCCTCAAGTAGTTCCTGTGTGCAGACCGCATCTTCAGGTGCACAAACATGGGTTCACTTCCTTTCTTGGGGCCGAAAAGCCCTGGTTTGTTTTGTTCACATCGTGGCAGAGATCAAAGGTGATACCGCCAAAGAATGATCAAGCCCCCAAAGAATGAACCCGCTACTAGATGCCCATCAAGTAAAGGAGACTTTGAACTTTGAACCACATATAATAACCTAATGGGAAAGCGACAACTGAAAGATTGCCACCGCCAGATGCCCTGCTGCCCTAGGTGGGATCAGCCATTATCCAGATCATTGCGAGCGCGCAGAAAGGTCAGCCGGGGCAGTTGGTTTTTGCTGAGTTTTTACTGAATTTTTGCAAGATGTGGTGGATGGCCTCTACAGAATCTTCAAAATTCTTTAACCTTCCTCAAAATGCCTTAAAATGCTTTAAAATTCATAATTTCCTTAAATTTCCTTAAAATTCATTAAAATCCTTTAAACTTTCTTAAAATTCCTTAAACTTCCGCAAAATCCTTTAAACTTTCTTAAAATTCCTTAAACTTCCGCAAAATTCTTTAAACTTCCTTAAAATTCCTTAAACTTCCTTAGAATTCTTTAAACTTCCTTAAAATTCCTTAAGCTTACTCAAAATTCTTTAACCTTCCTTAAAATTCCTTAAACTTCCTTGAATTTCTTTAAACTTCCTTAAAATTCCTTAAAATGCCTTAGAATTCATAAATTCAGTAAAGTTCCTTAAAATCTGTTAAAATCCATTATTTTTTTTTTTTAAATGCTTTAAAATTCTTTAGACGTCCTTAAACTCCCTTAAAATGCTTTAAAATTCTTTAGACGTCCTTAAAATTCCTTAAAATTCTTTAAACGTCCTTAAAATTCTTTAAAATGCCTTAAACATCATAAATTCCTTAAATTTCCTTAAAATCCATTAAAATTCCTTAAATTTCTTTAAAATTCTTTAAACGTCCTTAAAATTCCTTAAAATTCTGTAAATTTCCTTAAAATTCCTTAAACTTACTTAAAATTCCTTAAATTTCCCTAAAATTCTTTAAAATTCCTCAAAATTCCTTAAAATGCCTTAAAAATCATAAATTCCTTAAATTTCCTTAAAATTCATTAAAATTCTTTAAATTTCTTTAACTTTCCTTAAAAATCCTTAAAATTCTTTAAAATGCAGTAAACATCATAAATTCCTTAAAATTTCTTAAAATTCTTTAAAATTCCTTAAACTTCCTTAAAATTCCTTAAAATTCTTTAAAAGTCCTTCAAAGTCCTTAGAAATCATTAAAATTGTCTAAATTTCCTTAAAATTCTTTAAAAGTCCCCCAAGGTCCTTAAAATTCCTTAAAAGTAATTCAACGTCCTTAAAATTCCTTAAAAGTCCTTCAAAGTCCTTAAAATTCCGTAAAATTCCTCAAAATGCCTTAAATTTTGGCAAGATGTGGTGGATGACCTCTACAGAATCTTTGCATACAGAGCTGTTCCTGGTACAAATGGGGCCTTGCTTTGCAAAGCGATGTTGCCACTTGCCATTCCATGAAGAATTCGAGCTTGGAATTCTCCCTACGAAAAGAGATGGATGGTAAGGTATGTTTGACGAGTGACTGCTTGTCGCTAGGCCTCATCTGAGGGCTACGAAAAAGACAATGAGTGGCTGCATATGTTGGAGCCTCATGAGTTTTCTCAGCCCACCAGGTTTTCTGTTTGAGATGTACATGTAAGCCAGTGACGATTTCTTATTTTCATGCTCACGGGGCACAACATAGATACTATGACAATCCCTGATGAAGATTAGAGGCCAACGGTTTTCTTGAAGCTACTATTGCAATTGGAAGGGCTGGCTGAGGCGAGTTTGAAGCAGTGCGACCACTACTGAACGGACGAGCAAATAGAGTTGCTTGTAGTGCGGTGCGATTGAAAAGTGTTAAACCTTGCTTCTTAGCTCTTAGCACTTGCTTTTAGCTTGTTTCATGGCACTCATGTTGACTTATGCAGTTGTTCATCGAGAGGAAATTATTTTTAGGTATGTCTTTTCAAGGATGTCTCTTCCCGTGGCTTGGATTCGAGCTCCATAAATGCAGACGGAGGGTGACTCATCCCTGAAAAGATTCCAGAGACTGCAAGTCCTGCGTGTTTCCAGCACGCCGCTTGCGCCCCCTGACGCTAGCATACGTGAAAAAGCATTTTGTGGTTTTTTGCGGAACTTTTGGATGCTGGGATCCGTGTCTGCAGATGGAGGCAACCTTTCGCCTCTACAGGTCCTTGAAAGGGGAAGTCTGGCAGATTCGAGACTTCAAAGGGATGTTGTACCCGACATTTTTGCATTGGTTGTTGTGTTCATCGTCAAAATTGATGCCATGTTTACTCCATCAGTTTGCAAGCGGAATGCATTTCATATATATATATGAGACTTTTGATCTATCATCTCCCACATGCGAACTTGCTTTGGACCCCAAGACAACACCGTCTGAGAAAGATTGAGAAGGTATACTTCTTTGCAGCGATTTAGGCTCAACTAGCTCTGGTTTAGTGAGATGAGATGAGTGTAGCTGTGCGATCCTGTCGGACTGGATGTCGCCAGCCATTCAGCGACAGCGACATCCAATTGGTACGGTCAGACATGGAGCTGGAGGGCAACTGGATGAGTTGCTGCACCTTGGCTGTGACAAAATGCTGTTCATGCTGGGGCTGGAAAATTTGCTCGTGTGTTAAAACTTAAAACATGTTAAGAGTCAAAATTAAGTTGTGGAAGATATTGTTTGCTTTTGCCTCCTCCTCTAGACGGAATACTCAACATAATCTTAAGTGTATTCCATGAGTCGTCGTCATCGTCATCTTCATCATATCGCCATCGTCGTGGTCGTCGTCATGGTTACCATCACCATCACCGTCACCCTGATCGTCGTCATCGTCGTCGCCGTCGTCGTCGTCATCATCATCATCATCATCAGCATCATCACCAGTTGAAGCACGTCAGGGTATGTTTCGCTATAGTGACAACCATTCTCCATCACCATTCTCCATCACCTTTTTATATTTGATGTACAACGGTACTGGTAAGGGACACTGAGGTAATCTTCATCAGCTTGTATTTTCCCAGCAGAGATGGGGCTCTCAATGAGATCTTAGCATCGGGTTGTTTGCCCTCTGGTTGGTGTTGACATCCTTACCATACTGGTCAAGAGTCAGGGTCACTTTAGGGGTGCAGTCGGGGGATCAAGCAAATACATGCGTGGGTGATGATGGTGTAGGTCGGGTCATGAGATTTCATCGCGAAGTAGGGACCACCTTGCAATATTGTACTACTGTTCTTGGGTGTGTCCTCCCATTTGAACAGGACAACTACATGTTTGGATGATTTTGGACGCATGTAGAAAGAGTGTAATTAGACCAGTTGCACCGAGGGATGACATGGAGGAAAATTCTGAGTACGTGCACCTGGTGACTCATCATCAAAGAAGGTACAGAATCTCTCCGGAGGCAAGATATGGGAGGGCTGCCGGGCATGCTGTGAATTTTCACACGCAAAAGGCAGTGCTTGCAACGGGCGCAACAGGAATGACTCGGAATGACCTTATAGTCGGCATGGTAGTTTGGTCATGTTTGGTCACTTTGGGCGCCCTGCCACAAGAAACGACAGAAACGGCCACCTCTTAACCGCCACCCAATATCTACAGCTGAATCAGCATCAGCCGTGAGGACATGGTGGCTTTTATGGAGAAGCTCTGTGGGATCTGCATGCCAATTCTGATGGCTGCAGGCTTGGCCATATTTCAATTCGGAATTCCATGGGATACCGCGCCTGTCTCATAGAATTGGATGATGGGAAAATTTACAGGAAATCCCTATATTTGATGGTAAAAACCATGGTTTCCTGTAGATTTTCCCTTAAACCAATCCATTGACTGTCCAAAGGAGATGCCAAGGGGGATACCGCGCTGCTTTGTGCTTAGGCGGATCCTCGGAGATGGCGACGTCGAAGCTGCAACGCTTGCAGAGGGAGCTGAAAAAAACCAAGGAGGTGAGAAATTGGAGAAATTGAAACCATGAAGTCATGGCAGTCATGGCAGTCATGGCAGTCATGGCGATTGAAAAACAGATTGGCATCGGATGATGATATGATGATATTTGATGGGACAAAAAAAGGGACAGCCTGACATTTTGGCAAAAAAAAGGAGGGATGTCCCGATGTCCTGCCAGGATCTAAAGGCGAAACTTGTGCAGTGCAATCTGAGTGTCAGGGCCTTGGAAGATGTTGGAACTTGATCAACTGGACCCGGACTCTGGCAGATTTGGTGAACATTCTGACACCGAAAAACCTGTTGCAGCCACCTGGCACAAGGCATTGAAGCAATTGGACTTAGTTGCTTGGATGGAGTTGTGTGCGAAACGGGTTGCCAAAGCCTGCAGGATCTACAATGATGTTCTTCTGCCTTGGAAATCCAAAACAATGGGAGTAGTAGAAACCTAGCTCTGGAGTTTGAGGCATTTGTTGCGACGTGGTTGTTGCAGCTGTCTTCAGACGCTTAGTCAACCTCATGAGTCAAGTACTCTCCGAGGGGTTGCCCTTGATTTCATCAGAACAGCGGCGATGTTTCAGCCATCGCTGGAACGACGAACCTCTATTCAGGCAGACTGATGGAAAATAGTTGCAGAACCTTGTAGCCTTGAAGAGAGAGACTTATATATAATCCCTTATGTATCATATGTAATTATAATATTATATATATATACTTATATAAATAATAAATACATATAATTTTAAACACATATTTCATAGTACATTAATTATATCTATTATAGAATTACAGAGATCGTGGTTCCACAACTTCTGAGGTGCACCGGTGCACCACCCATCAGCTGATTCTGAACTTGTGACTCGACCCGAGGTCAAAGGAGGCACTGGAAAATGGGATGACAAGGTGACTTTTTATGCCGCTTGGCAAGTCTGAACTACGTGCCCAACTTCAACTGGTAACTGATGGAACTGAATCTTTGGTTAGGATCCTGCAAAATGCATTTTGACAAGAGTCTCCAAGCCTCTGTGGCAGAAAAGTTTTGGTCAAACTATGGCTGCTACTTTATACATTTTCTTTGGCCGGTGATCATGAGAAACTGAGGAGCCTATGAAGTACCTGAATGAAGATCCTGGGCATGATTCGACCAAAATCCGCCCCATCATTTAGTGTTTATTTTTGGTCAGGATTCGGATGACTCCCGCTGTGGTCTCCACCATTTAACTTGAGCTGATACAGGGCTGATCAGCATTTTTCTGCATGTAATCATGCTCGGTAAGTGCTTGAGAAATCGAAAATCCCTTGTCGATGCGTTTGTCAAGTCTTGACAAGCCTCAGGATGAGAAAGATATGGTCTTTATGGTAGTCAAGGACCCTTCATTCCAAGCTGACACTTCTGAAGGCAGCTTCAAGATTCAGATCAAACTTGGTAGGTTTCTAGACCAACATCCTGATTTCGTCCTGTCTCTTTTTTGGCATTGGCATTTTGGGCGCGAGTTTGTTGCGACATGATGTGACATGACGTGACAGTCGCCGTTCACAGGACAAGCTTCGTCAAATCTTGGACGGCACAGCGCCTGACTCCTTCATGGGAAAACTGCGAGAGTCCTTGGGAATGGCAGTGCCCTGGCGCATTTGTTTCAGCAGCGAAGCCGTCACCGTTGTTGGAACCGTTGTTGGGTCACCATTGTTGGAACCGTCGCCCTCAGGATCCAGCCAAGCTCCTCAAGAAACAGGCGGATCCACAGCTTTCTTGCCTGGGGTTGGAGACTGGTAAGATGGAGAGGCAACTTTTCCAGCAGAATCTTGTGACTCTTGTGGCCCTGGGGGAATCTTTGGTCTCGATAGTCCTACTGTATTCAAGCCAATCTTCAGAATCTCAATGCTTGCCAGAGGGAAGGAAGCTGATGGTACTTCTTACATCATGAAACCTTCATGTTGTCGGAGTCTCAATGATTGCCGCAGGGCTCGAGGTCTGCTTCAGCCAAGGAGGAAGAGGAGCTGGATTCCTGTGGGGATAGGGTGCCCTACAAAATTGATGGTTTGGACGTTGCCCATTACCGTATTGTGTTCCGGAGCTGTCCAGATGGTGAGACAGTGAGATCCTTCACATCGCCGTTCATTCTCAGTGGCCATGTGGCTTCAGGAGGAGGACTTCGCCAACCAAGACGGGGGCCACAGGGGTGCACAAAATTCTCCCTCCGGTTCAAGATATGAAGTGCGACTTTGAGATCTGAAACGAGAACTGAACAAAAAAAACAACTCAATGGACCTGCAAAAGTGGAGCTTGGCCTTCTGAGAAGTCTTGCACACTATCTCAAATTTGTTTGATCCTCCATGCGGAAGTGCACAGCATACCTAGGAGGGAGCAGATTCCTGCGTGCATGGGTCAATTTGGCATTCCATGGGGAACTCGTCATTCTGTGCAGTTTCAGAGGCTGTTGAGATTGCTCGCAATGCGGCGAAGAAATCGCAGGTGGATGGGCAGAGTTGACTGGACCCTGTGGTATCATTGACCCGTTGAATTCAAACGCGGAAATTGCCAAGGAAAAATGACTTGCGAATGATGACATGCTCAGGAGGGAGTAGGATCAATGCAACGGAGTGCTGCAATGGTTGTATAATCGCATACTTAAACTTATGAAATCTTATGAGTTGTATCTCACGACATGCAAGGTCATGTGATGACAACCACGCCTGACAAGAAGTGATGATTATCCAATGATCCACAATTATCCAAGTATCAACCATACCCAATAGGTTAACATGACATAACAATACATAACAATACATAACAATACATAACAATACATAACAATACAGAACATGTATTTTCCAAAAGAATGTCAACAAAGTTTTCCAACGGTGCGAAGCACCCAGTCCCAGTTTCGCGCAAGGAAGTGGCCGCCTTGGCCCAGCGGGAAACGGAGGAGCTGAAGAAACGCCTGGTGCAACTGCAGCAGCAGCTGGACGACCGAGGCGGACTGGAACTGCAGATTGGAGCACGTTGAACTCCGTTGAACTCCGTTGAACTGTTGGATCTTCAACTTGAAGGATCAAAGTTTGGTTTGAGAATGCCAGAAATGATTGGTTTTCATGGCCCTGTTTTGTAGGCAAACTGGAGCAAACTGGATATGATATGAAATGTCCTAGGCTTCAGGATGAGGGTTCACTCACCACCAGCCATGCAAAGAACCTCACAGACAATGTGTACCAAATTCGATGGTCATGGTGATGCTCCATAGCCACAGGTACCGAGTTGACAGAAGCTCAACAGCTTTTGGCGCAGGGTGAGCGGTACCGACAGCAGCTGCTCTTGGCCATGGATCGCTTGAAGGTGGCATTCGGTGGGGGATGGCCACAAATCCATTCGCTAATGGATTTTGTATAATCCATTACGCTCTGGTTATGACTAACATAGCCATGAAAATTGCCCATTTATAGATGGTTTACCGGTTTACCTATTAAAAATGGTGATTTTCCATGGCTATGTTAAATAACCAGATGGTAATGGATATGAATGGTATATGGCTATATATCTTGATGGTTTTTAAATCCCTAATTGATGGGGGATGATCGATCAATGAATCCATTTATCCAGGTTTCCCATTGGATGGATGACGAGACCGGAATCCAGTCGAATCCAAAACGGTGCAGGAGCAACAGCTCGAGCCAGAAGAGGCGACAGATTGGTGGATCCTTCCAGAAATCCCAGATTTGGGGATGGGTCAATACCTACTATACATACCATTTTTAGGAGAATGAACATCCATTTACCAGCTATTTTGGGGTTCACCAGGGGTACAAGGTTTTGACACACTGCCATTTGGCAATTGACATTTGTTTCAAATTGGACTTGAAATGTTCCATGTACAGTATTTCTTCCACCAATTCTGCCAGCTTCGTGGCCGCTGATATTTTTCAAACCCCATTCATGTTGCGGCACAGCGCCAGGCCAGCTTTGTGATGTCGGAGCTTTCCAAATCCACGGAAGGCTTTCAGGTGCTGTTTGAAGACATGCCAGAGGACCCGTGGAGTTGATGTCAACGCTATGGATGACGGATTTTGGGGAGCGTACCAGCGGTTTGCGTACGATTGCGACAACTCAATGAATTGTACAAATTATATGGATATACACAAAAAACTTGAACTCGATCTCAAACAAGCTGTGAAGAAATTCCACGTTTTCTACTCGCTAGCTGCCATCTTCATGATCGCGTGTCAACTTGCCTGACGTCCCAGTCAACCCAGAAATCAAGACTCAAGCTATCAAACAGGCAAATCATTGCGTTATGTGAAATCGGGCATGGATTCATCTTGGCTCCGAAACAATCACTGGATCCACCCAGGGCCACCCATCTGTTGAAATCAGCTGGTCCAACTTCGATATGGGGACCCAAATTTTGCCCATGTCGATGCCATTGGAAACCTGAAGCCTGACATTTTCCAGGACTGCACCTTCCTGGAAGTGGCTCAATGGCATGAGGCCACTCTGGGTCCCAGTGCTACCCCGTTGGCCTTGGAACTACACCACGATCCGCGGCGGCGCCGCAGCAGCGTGGTCTGCAAGTACGCCAAGGAGGCGCAGGCTGAGGCCCGGTCTGAAGGAACTGGAAGGAACTGGAAGGAACTGGAGCAGGTAATCCGAAATGATTCAGTTGGGCAGTTTGGACTCGGATTTTGTCTTTGTCATTTCTTGATGATATTTTGACAATTTGGTATTTCACGATTTTGAAAGGTCGACGATTGAGGTGCCCATGCATTGTTGCAAATTGTAACGGTACACGGGGGAGAAGTTCTTTCACCCAGGCCATGCCCAGGTCCCTTGTCAGCTAAACTTGTCAGCCAAAAAAAAGGAAAAGGCTACATGTCATTCAATGGCTGTTGGTCACTGCGGCACCATACAATGATATAACATGATATAACAATGATATTTGAAACAATATATATATATATACATATATATACACACATGAGGGGACTTCACCAGATTATTTGAAAGTTGTCTTGACCTGACGTTTTGTCAAGCCGTGATAGATTTGTTTCGCTGATCCTCCCATGCATCTCAAGGAAGAGAAAGGTGCTAGATCATGCTAGATCACAGATCACATCAGATCACATCATTCGACTCCTTTTGAGGCCGCTGTGCGACAGTTGCAGAATTCGGCGTCGAAGAGTGGCAAGTGGTCCAAGGTTCGTGCGCGCTTACTTCCATCGCAGACCTCTGACTCCACAGTCACTCCTCAGGCACCGCGGAAGTCAAAGCTGAATTGGAGGATGTCTTGAACATTTTAAACATTCAGGGACTTGCCAACATTTGGGCTTGGAAGATTTAGGAAGATTTAGGAACTGTTGGCATTTTGTCCATTTCTCGGGTTCGCGTGCATCTTCATGAGAGCCAGAACCGGCAAAAACTCAGTTCGAATCAGTTGAGGTCCCAAACAATGTCATCAGAGGATTCGTTACAAGCATGACGCCATGCCACCAAAATCCATCAACACTCAAAGACGCTGCCTTTTGCCAGGCAATGAACAGGAGTCGCACGGGTGAATCCTGGCGTTCAAAATCCAACGTGACACGCAGCTGGAGCCAAGATCTGCGCAAGAAGGATCCACCAGATGCGGAAGACGATGCTACGGAGCCACTTGTTACGCGCAAGGGGGCCGACTTCCCAAAGAGTCATGGTGACTCGCAGTCACGGCTGTCTCGGAGCAAATCTGCTGTGAAACTGGAGGAAACGCAAGCGGAGATTGGCAAGAAAGCGCAGAAGATTGAAACTTTCATGTTTTTCCAAAGATTGAAATTTTGTATTGTCCACGGGGTTTTACGATCAATGGCCCCTTCATCCTGACTGTGTCAAGCATTTTTTAGGCTCATTTGGACTCCTGTTTTCCGCAATGGGGGGGGGGAGAGTGGTGGACACACCGGCTGAGCTGAGGAGGAGCTGACAGAGGAGAACAAAAAACTGAAAGTTTGTTTGGAAGAGCTCCAAGCCAAGCTGCGACAGCTGATGGGCAAGAGTGCCCAAGCAGCAAATTGGATCAGGAAAAACATGGAAGACCTACAAAAAGTCGTTGTCAATACGCTACAGATGTTGCAAAAAACAAGTCCTGCGAAAAAGAATATATATATATATATATAAATAAATAAATAATCGAAAGAAGTTTAGAAGTCAAACTTCCGACAACATGGACAGATGAAAAGCAGAGGTGGTAAGAGTCAAAGAAGAGCAGAGAAGAGAAGAAGAAAGAAGATCAAAAAGAGAAAGTCTCAGAAGAAAGAAGATCCAGGTGCCTCAAAAGGTAGGAAAGTCGCGAAACACTGTGTTTTTCCTATGCGTTGTGGCTCCGGAAGGTCGAAAAGTAGGCTCGCTAAAGCGGCGGGTGCGGAGCCAGTTGGCCAGATGAGAGCTGAAAAATTGCACGCCGTTGTGGCGCGAAGCACATTTCGAAGTCAAAATGTACAAAGCACACCAGCTCCGGGCCACTTTTGGAAGTGTAGATGTCGAAAAATTGCACGCCGTTGTGGCGCGAAGCACATTTCGAAGTCAAAATGTACAAAACACACCAGCTCCGGACCACTTTTGGAAGTTGAGATGTCGAAAAATTGCACGCCGTTGCGGCGCGAAGCACATTTCGAAGTCAAAATGTACAAAACACCAGCTCCGGACCACTTTTGGAAGTTGAGATGTCGAAAAATTGCACGCCGTTGTGGCGCGAAGCACATTTCGAAGTCAAAATGTACAAAGCACACCAGGTCCGGACCACTTTTGGAAGTTGAGATGTTGTTTCGCGTGGCAGGCGCACGGGATTGTGCACCTTGTCAAAAATGAGCAAAACGTGAGGGTTTTGTAGCATTTCCAAAAACGATGGCAGGCGTGGGACATTTGAAGAGGATCTGCAAAGATGCATTTTCCGTGGCAGGCGCAGTACAAGAGACATGTTCATCAGAGCTGTTAGGAGGTCCGGGCGCTGATTTCCTGAGAGCGGTCGCATTTTGGAGCGTCAGATCTTCAGTTTTAGGAAGATGATTTTGCGTGACAGGTGCAGCACTTCGTATGACCTGGCATCACTTTTTCGTGGCAAGCGCAGTAGTTTAGACAGGTGGAGTCGAAAAATCGCAAAACGCATTGGCACGAGGCCGCCAGCTCTGCACTCAACTTTACATTTTTTAAGGAAGTCTCGCCGAAGTGCTTCGTTTTTGATGTTGTCAACTTAAAAAAAGGAGGAAGTCTCGCAGAATTGCTTCGTTTTTGATGTTGTCAAGTTCAAAAACTGAGGAAGTCTCGGAATAGCTTCGTTTTCAATCTTGCAGATAGACAGACAGACAGACAGAGAGAGAGAGAGATATATGTAGATAGATAGATAGATAGATAGATAGATAGATAGATAGATAGATAGATAGATAGATAGATAGATAGATAGATAGATAGATAGATAGATAGATAGAGAGATAGAGAGATAGAGAGATAGAGAGATAGAGAGATAGATAGATAGAGAGAGATAGATAGAGAGATAGAGAGATAGAGAGATAGATAGATAGATAGATAGATAGATAGATAGATAGATAGAGAGGTAGAGAGATAAAGAGATAGATAGATAGATAGATAGATAGATAGATAGATAGATAGATAGATAGATAGAGAGAGAGAGAGAGATAGAGAGAGATAGAGAGAGATAGGTAGATTAGATAGTTAGATAGTTAGATAGTTAGATAGTTAGATGGATGGATGGATGGATGTATGTGTGGATGGATGGATGGATGGATGGATGGATGGATGGATGGATGGATGGATGGATGTATGGATAGATGGATAGGTGGATAGGTGGATAGATGCATAGATAGAGAAAGAAAGAGCCATCCGTGATTCACAACAACCAACCGCTCCTATAGGTTCCTATTTTGGAAACTTCCGCCACCGCCTTGTGCGGTACTACTGGAACTATATCCCATTTGTTAATAATAATAATAATAGTAATAATAACAATATATATATAAATATGTGTGTGTGTGTAACATCTAAATAGATGTAAAACTTCTCTCTTTTTCTTCCTTCTGTCCTCTCCTTTTTAAATCTAGTGCAAGGGTTTTTAATCTAGTGCAGGGGGATGAGGGTCCCTTGGTGCGCCTCATCTAACAAAGACCGCACCAAGTGGACGTGATATCAGTGCCCGGCCAGCACTGACGTACCTGCACGTGTATATATTTTTACGCTGTTGGTTTATATGTCAATGACTCCTGTGATTTTTACTGACGTGCTCCTTATACTCTTACTGCTGTTGGTTTATATGTCAATGACTCCTGTGATTTATATGGACGTGGCAAGGGGCTAAGCCAAGAACCCCAATAAACAAACAATCTAATAAATTTGTTTCCTGTCTACTTTGCATGTTACAGGATTCAGTTCCTGCCGGATCATATAATGATCCATTCTTGTCTAGTGTGATTCCTATGGTGACTCCGACATGGTGCCATAGGGCCAATTGAGGCAACCCCAGTTGGGGTCAATGTCGACTGACCTGATTTCTGAATTTACACTTTTGAATTAGTAATTCGTTTAGGTAAAGTGCAACAGATGGCCTTACTGTTCTGCACCATTTCTGTAATGTCCCGCTGGTCCTTTGGTCCCAGGGTTCCTCGCCGAAATGCCTGTCTATCACAGTGAAGCCGCTCGAAGCTACCAGAAACCGTGTTTTTACTGCAGCTCTTGCTTTCACAGTGACAGATTAACCAGGACATGATAGGAACAACGGGTAGGCACACGACTTTCAGGTGTGGTCTTTTTTCTTTTGATGGTGGTCTGGTGAGGTGAAACATATTGTGCACCTAATTCGTTGGAACTTGAAAGCCGTTTTATGCCCTTGTGGCTGACTTGAACACGGGCCTGGAGTGGCACAACGCACGAATTCTAGGTTTAGGAGCTGAATCCTGTTGTTTTACTAATTGTTTTGGTTTTCCTGTCTGTCATCAACTAGTCCCCCATTTGGTCCCTAATTTCCCTGCGTGCCTCTCCGTAATGTGTCGTGGGGTTTAGGTGTGTGCGCTGTTTTGGTTAGGTCCGTTTCGCCGTGTAGGTTGGTTCCGGAGGTCCGTCTGTTCCCCTCCCCCCCTGCGCTGTTTTTGGCCGTTTGCCCTTCGTGTGTCCGCTTTTTTCTTCCTCTTGCCTTTCAGGGTTGACCCGGCTCTGGCCGGGTGTGTGTGTGTGTAACATCTAAATAGATGTAAAACTTCTCTCTTTTTCTTCCTTCTGTCCTCTCCTTTTTAAATCTAGTGCAAGGGTTTTTAATCTAGTGCAGGGGGATGAGGGTCCCTTGGTGTGCCTCATCTAACAAAGACCGCACCAAGTGGACGTGATATCAGTGCCCGGCCAGCACTGACGTACCTGCACGTGTATATATTTTTACGCTGTTGGTTTATATGTCAATGACTCCTGTGATTTTTACTGACGTGCTCCTTATACTCTTACTGCTGTTGGTTTATATGTCAATGACTCCTGTGATTTATATGGACGTGGCAAGGGGCTAAGCCAAGAACCCCAATAAACAAACAATCTAATAAATTTGTTTCCTGTCTAATTTGCATGTTACAGGATTCAGTTCCTGCCGGATCATATAATGATCCATTCTTGTCTAGTGTGTGTCATATGTATGCCATGCTCAGAAACAAAATGTCACATGTCAAGTCAGGCACGACTCTATTCCATCCCGAGGCAAAGAACGAGGAATTGGGGACGAGATCAGCGAGATTGCCAATGACCTCGGTTTGAAGCGAGTCCTGTCCTGCCCATCTCGCTTTGACATCCTGTACCAGGACATGCACAGTGACACAGAAACTAAATAATGCAAAAACCCTGCCGTCCAAGATGAAAAGTACCAGACAATGGTGCATTTGCCACTTTCAGGTTGGTTGTTTAGTTGATTCTGTTTAATATATCAATTATGATGATGATATATGATATATGATATATAATGATATATATATACATGTATACATACTATGATTTTTGTAGACAAGGATTCTGTTCTAGTTGGGAACCCATGATGTATGCCTAGCGCATCAAGCGGCCAGGATGCCTTCAAACGCATTGAACGCTTGGAAGAACTGCGGGCGAAGATTCGGGAGGAGCGCCATTGGATGCAGGGACCGCCTGCCCCTGCAGCTTGGCTGAAACCAACAACAGTTTTGTTTCACTTGCACCGAAATATTTAGGCATACAATAAAAAAATATAGGAACCATGGATAAATTTGATAACCTTCCATTGATTCCATTCCAATACTTTTCAAACATCACGGCATGCCAAATTTCATCTACCAGGCAGAGCCGTCGGTGCTGAGTTTGGTGGAACGTAGTCCACTGGTGATTTTGCAGCAGCTTGTAACGACTGGTCCGGCGGGCTGGTCATTGTCCAGCGGTCACAGCCCGAAACGTGCACAGCGTCCACGCCCGCAGCTGGGGCTGCAACGGGCGGTTGCGTAAGGGCTAGAGGATGGTGTTTACCTGTAGATAATTTATGATCGTTTGCATTGATCTGAAATCATGCCCACATCGGCTTGAAGTTGTATCTGACAAGAAATGAACACTTGTACCAGAATGTTGGGTGTCTGCAGTGGCGATATTCAAATGATCTTTCTTGGTGACTGATGACCACTCGGCCATGGTGCGAGGTCATTACTGAACATTCTCTTGGGTATCACCTTCAACATGGGTATCCAGTCATATCCAGTGCCCAGAGGCCTAGATCATCCCGCATGGATATGGCTATGGATCAATACCTATACATACCATTTTTAGTGGGATGAACATCCATTTACCAGCTATTTTGATGTTCACCAGGGGTACAAGGTTTTGACACATTCCCATATTCCAAATTCGGATTGCAAGGTCACCTCTGGAGCACGAGACGCCCAGCCTCTCACCGAAGACCTCCAAATCGATGTCGAAACTTCCGCAGCTTCCACGCCTCGAGGGCCCAGCGACGGGTGCGTTGGTGTCTGGCTTGAAGGAGTCTGCTTCAACTCCTTGCCTCAGAGCCATGCAAACGCCAATCCATCCAGTCCATCCAATCCATCCAATGGGATGGGAGGCAGGGCGAATTACACATATTTCGCATGCTGAATATTGATAGGCAGCCATAGGCATGTGACGTGAAGATCCTCACATGTTTCTTCGCATTTGCACAACAAAGGTGGTCAATGTGGTGCCGGCCAGTTTTCATGCCCCCTGCAGGCCGACAGAAGAGTTGGCGTCCACTGGAAGCAGGCTGATAGGAGGGTGTTGGTTTAACCTACTGCGGCGTCCTTTTGCAGTTCACTCATGTTCATTCACCAGTCATCCTCTGAAAGAGGTGGCTTAGTCAGGAATCTCCACCCATCTTAGATGGTTGGCAGATACGTCGTGGATCATTATTGTCCGGAATCAGGCACAGGGCCAGGAAACGTGTCCATCCTGTTCAAATATGTTCACATGGCATTCGTTTAGCTGCAAAATGCTGAGAATCCTTTGGATTTGGTGTCCAACTTGCGAAGATGCGGACATGAGGCCCAAAAGTCGTAACAGGAGCCCTGCTCGTTGCGGAGAGTATTGGCTCTCAGTGTTTTCCCATGGCGCCAGCCATGCTCACTCGGGTGATGTCGGCCGCGGTTCTCTTATGACCCGCTACTGGCGAAGCATCCGCTTCGGAGCAGGGCAACCGCTGTGCTTTTTAAGTTTTGAAAAAGGTGCTTTGCCTCCATCATCCTCCATCACTCCATTGATGTCAACGTTTCACTATCTGAAGTTCTCTTGACTTGACCCAAAGAATTGAGAACTTCCTTTCGAGGCAAGAAAGTATCACGTTTTCAGACGGCAGGCAACACCATGAGGTCCGAGCAAGCTACTGTCACTATTTGAAGAAAGCACACTTGCAGCTGCTAGCTTCAACCACCTGTCGCACAGCAACCTGACATGTCAGATGCTTGACCAGTTTGAGGTGGAGTCTGAGACCCTTCCTACCATTTGAAGAATCAGCAGATAATATCAGATAATCAGATTGTCAACGAGAAACAGGGTGTTTTCACTCAGAACACAATCACAATAGAATCACAATAGGAGTATTTGAAACAGCTTGAGGTCTGTTGATTTGAAACAAAAGCAAATACAACGGCCATCACATCAGGACTAGTTTTGTTTTGCTGCAATCAATCCTACTCAACAGCCGTTTTTTCCAGCTGAATGGCATGGCTCAATGTCCAGGACTGGGTCCGTATGCAGAAATCCAGTAGCGACAGATTTCAACACACATTGTACTCGAAGGAGATCGACAAAATGAGAATCTTGCTGATCAAGTAGATGTGTACATAGATGCAGTGTGTATCTGGCTATTTGGCATTTTTGACTCATCACCTGATTTGGGGACGGACATCTCTTTTTGCTATGGGGACCACCATGCCGACGCCAAATCACGGCTTGCCTGGTGCAGGCAGCCTCCCGAAAGCCTGGCAGTGGCGATGGCGATGTGTTGAATCGCCTGCATTTGGGGCGTGGCCTCCAGAGTTTGCAGGGTGCCAGCCAGCTGTGCCCGTGGCTTTGGGTTGACTGGAATTAACACTGCGAGATGGCATTGTGCCAAGAATGGAGGACCGTTTTGGACATATACGTCCAGTTCAAATTTGGGTTAGCAATGAACGAAGCTTTTCTTCTTCAGGGTCAGTGCACCTCCCGTGTTGATAGAACGAAGGACATCTTCCTTCCAGAAAGGAATTCCCTTCGAGTCATCTCTTCGTTTCGCCTCGCCTCTGTCGCATGATGTGGAGGTGACAAAGCGCCTGAAACAGCAGGCAGCGATCCGGGATCACTTCAAAGTTTTGACCCGCCTATTGACAACTATAGGGGTGTATAGGGCTGTCCAACAACCGGAAGTACACACCACTTAGTGAAGAACGTGTTTGTGACGTTTCCATGGAGTCAAGTCACATGCAATTCTTCCTCAGATTCGGGCCGTTGCCGGGCAGGATGTGCTGTCATCTTTTCGGGTCTCTGTAAATCCTTGTGGTGTAGATCTCAATGGTGAAGACGCCACAGTTGGCTCTGCATGGTACGGAAGAACATCTAGATCCAGGGTCACTTGATGCAGCGTCCTGCTTCAGGCAGGTTTCCCTTGCATTGGCCACCACAAATCACCACAAATCACCACAAATCCACCAGGGGTGAGCAAGCTTGGTCAGAAAGATGTGCCTTTGAACAGCCAGTCACTTGTCAGGGAAGGTGGATGCCTTCGCACCTCCAGTGAAACCCAGGGGTGGTGGCATCTCTGCCCTGGCGGCTGCTGCCTCAGAGGCTGCCTTGCGACCCGCCAAAGGCGCGGAGCTGTGGAGGTTTGACACTGAGGCATGTTTAGGTGGGGTTGCAGCATCCCTTGCAACGTGCACGGCATCGTGGTGCCAGGACCCACCACTACAGCGCCCCCGGCGCCAGTGCTGGGACGCTATGGTCTTCCAGTAGCTTGGCTACCTTGGCTCCACCAAAAGAGCCGTGTGGGTGGTGGATTCTGGGCTATGGGGAAGAAGGATGTCGGTTCAAGGCAGAGGAGAGACACAAAGCTGGCATGGGGAAAAACTGCTGCTGTCTCAGAACTGTTGTGCCAGTCTCAGACCCGTGAAATGCGTGTTGCAGATGCAAGATTTTGGGCTGGACTTGGTTGATATGTCGATGTAACTCACAATTTCCATCATACATGACTATGGTGATGATGATGACGATGGTGATGATGATGATGATGATGATGATGATGATGAGAGAGGAATGATGATGCTATCAACGATACTATGACACGCTGAATCCATCAGCCCTGAGGCTTGGATCAAGGAAGATGCCGTGGTGCTCTACCGATCCTCCTCTGGCGACTTGGCTGAGACCGAATCTGTGGCGGGTGGGCAGGTTCGAAGTCCAGTTTCATGCGGTTGACATGTCGAGTTTGGATGGTGGTGTTTCTCACCAGATCTCACCAGTGTTTGACGTGATTGCATTTGAAGTGGTGTTGTGCCACACTGATTTCTGTAGCCTGCGTCCTTTTTATCTTTTTGACGTCCACTCACAGCGAGGGATGTGTTTTTGCCCAGCCGTTTGAAAGCCAGACCCTTGAAAACAGTAGGACCAGAGTGTTTTCTCAATCCCCTGAAGTCCGCAGCAAATAAGCACACGCCTTTTCAAGGGATTGGAACACCTGAACCTGAACCTACAGTGCTTGGTTCAGTGGTGCCAGCCAACAGTAGCAGAGACTGGCCTAGGAAAAGAGATGAAGGCGCTGAGGGTTGCGGACCGAGGATGGAACCAACCAGTCGCAACTAGCCAGATGTTTTTTTTTTAATTAAATTATATGGGTATGGATCAATACCTATTAATACCATTCTTATGGGGATGAACATCCATTTACCAGCTATTTTGATGTTCACCAGGGGTACAAGGTTTTGACACACTGCCATATATATTTCCTGTGATCATTTGGTAACAGCTTCCACTTCCTTTAGTGGCAAACCCCCTTAGCCTTGGGGTCACTTAGATCAGTCAACACACCTCCAGAGAGTCAACGTGGCTCTGGCGGAAGGTCATGGTGAAGCAGGTCACACCAGAGAAGGTGAAAATCCTCTTCACTGATGGCAAGACCTGGTGCCATGTCTGCCGTGCCAATGGGAACGGGAGAACCGCTGGGTAAGATGTCAGACCTCATGATGGAAGAAACACTGAGGCTGATACTGGATTTAATGTCGCTGAAGGAGGCATGAAGTGAGCTTCGACTTGATGAAGTCTGACTGCAGAGTTGTCAAGACCACAGCCATCCTCACCAAACTGAGGAAAGGCTTCTCACATTCGCAAATTTTGGCGAAGGACCTCTGACGAACACAAGAATTCAAGAAGCATGAACAGCTGGATACTTTCTGTAACTTAGCCTCCACACTGCATTCAGCATCTGGATGCTCTTGAAATTCAGCTCCTGTTTCGCCTGTGATATTCTGGCAGGATGGGCCTCTTCGACAGAGGATATCTTCGTCCATTGATGGTCGAAATCGCTCGCGGTCCCCGCCGCCCAAGGCAGGGATGGATTCAACCACCTTGCAACGAATTCGTTCAGTGAGTTCTAAGTTTCTTCAAAGTCCGTGGGCCAGCGAGCAAGACCGTCCGTGGTCCCAAGAGAGGACTGTTCTCAAGACTTCCAAAAGACTTCAGACCGTCACCCGTGCCACTAAGTTTGAACAATTTTTTCAGCCAATCTGGTGATTCCTACAATCCGCCGGGATCAGTGGCGCAGCGCAGTTTTCCATCTCCAGGTCTTGGTCACAGTGTCCGATGAGGTGGAGGTCCTTGACGACTGATGCTCGATGCGAGATCAGATGTGTTGACCAACAAAGATTGGTGTGGAATCTCACGCGACGAGTCAAAAAGAAACTAGGATGAAACAACTGCCAGTTCTGTTGAAGTACACCAGATAGACCTTCGCCTTTTTCGGAGACATTTGACAGAAGTCGAGTCAGCACCATATCAAGTCCCTTGAAAGAGAAACGCATCAAGCAATGGGAGAGTTGCAATGAGCATATGCAACAAGGCAGGTATGTCATTGTTCAAGATGTCCCGACAAAATGTGAAACCTTTCATTTTGCTGCAGTTTGACCAATCTATCTTGGGCCTATCTTACTTCTAAAATTTCCCCTGCAGGTTGGAAAGCTTCCCTTGCTGTTGGGCTCCAAGTTTTTGACCTTTCCCAGCGAACGGATCAGACGGCTCTGCCTTTTCTTGATCGCTTGATCGCCATGCGACCGAGACGTCGGCATTCAGCGACCTACAAGGTGCACTCCAGGTCCATCATCAAGAATCACTGCATGTTGAGCCGCTCGGAATTCTTCAAGGGAAGCTCCGAGAAGTTTTTGCACGAGTTGAGTACCATGCTGGAAGTTGACCTGTTCCTTCCCGGCCAAGATATCATTCAGCAAGGCCCCGGGATGGGACGAAATCGACCAATGTCGGTGGCTGCCGGTTGCTGTACCCAAAGGTACCCAAAGTCTTGAGCTTCACAGAGCATCTCTGGCTCATAGGATTCATCATTGCCATCCCAGAAGCAGGTATGGTATGGTATGGTCAGTAGAAGACAGCTATGATTTGTTTGCTTGTTAGGAATAGTTCGGGGTTCAGCAAATTTGCAAGAACTCTTTCCCCAAGTGTGGCGACAGGTGAAGAAGGGGACAAGATGTACTTCCTGAACTGGGGCTCTGTTCAAGTCATGCTGGGCGACCAGGCGAGGGTCGGGGGCGGAACCCCACCTTTTTTTGGCCGCTCATGTCATCAGCCAGGTGGTTGGTGATATCAGCCCTGGGTCTGTTTTTGGAGAGATGGCTCTTTTTAGCACCTTGGCTTTATTGATGCACCATCATGGTCTAAAACTCAGTGATTGCACGTTTTGAGAATTTTTCTGCAATATATCAAAAGAAAAGAATCATTAACAATCTGTGCCCGGACTGCTGTACGAACCGTGGCAGAGCCACCATACGTGCCAGCTTTGGACACCCAGGTAACGGGAAACGCAGCTGCACAGTGCGTGCCACCGATACCTGCGATTGCAGAAGTGTGGATCAGTGCCGTGGCTCATGTGTCCGTTGCTTGAGGTTTTAACATGTTTTAACTATCCGCTATCCGTACCCCAATCACAATCATAGTTTTCCGAAATGGGAGAGCAGGTTATCAGACCTCATCTCATCTGGTAGAACCATTGCGCCATAGGCACCGCTTCCAGCGCTTGCTGAATTCGTACCCGGAGGAACGGGCACGCTTCGAGAAGTTGATTGAGGGGCGACAGCAGGAAACCACCAAGCTTCCCGGTCGCAAGAGATTGGGCCGTGTGGGAACTGACAAATTGACTAACTTTGGGAGAGAACAGGTTCTGCTGACGTTACAAACTGTAAAACATATTATGACAATCTTATAACATACATTAACATACTATAACTCCAGAAATTTCCAGTTGGCAAGCCTGAGTCGCCTGAGATTCCAGTTGGATTTTCCAAAAGATTCCGAACGTATCGGATCTTCGGATCGTCTGCTGAGGCTGAAACAGGATCTTCGGCGGCAACGGGAGCCACAGGAAGATCAAGGTGGATCTCGATTGAGAAACCTCACCTTGAGGTGGGGCAGTATGGAGAAGTGTTTTGGGTTAGTAACTGTTAGTAGCCACTGGAACATCCATACAGAATGGTAAACTGGAAGGCTTATCATCAAAACACTTGGATCCTGGATGCTGCTGTTTCTGCACAGGAGCCTCTCTGTGATTGCCAAGATGGGCATGTGACGCGGCAGCAGAGTGGCGATTCCCAGTTGATCTTAACGCTTGCCAATTCCTCAAGACTTCTGCCTTTTGAGTTGAGAAATGAACTCAGTCGGTTTTTGTTGCATTTGTATTTGTGCCGTGTGGCGTTTGAATGAATCTTTGGTATTTGAAGGTAAAAACACCTCCACGACTCCCTGGTTGCCATTGAACCATCCAGGAACAACTTGCGGCGCCCCATGAAGCGTGGCAGTAGAAACAGTGAAGACAGTAGAAACAGCGAAGACGTGACTCCCCGTCGACCCGGTCGACCCACGACGTGGCCTACAATGGCAGATGTCCAGGAGGGAAACCAAGAGAAGAAGGTGGGTCGGGGCATGGGAACCCAATGGCGCTAGTGAATCGGACCGTCAATAGACCTTGGGAAATGGAAAACAGGGATATTTCCGAGGGCCAACAGAATACGACCCACCAAAAATTCCCCATCATGGAGTCTCTTCTTGCATTGAAATAGGAAGAGCAAAGGGTTTGAAATACCCTACACTCCACTATTGCACACGCCCCATGTGGGTGTGTTTCAATGCAAGGGAGTCCTTTCAGATAGCTTTCGCAAACTGTCATGCTAGCTCATAAAGCTGGTTCAATACACCTTCATGCCCTTGTCTCGGCCAGAGCACTTGGGGCGTTCTACTCGAGTCCTGCATCCCTTTGGAGAATTCTCTGCAGTTTAATTCCAACCGGCCTTGTGCTGGACGAATAGCGTGGAGCCCTTCTCTTCCAAGCACCGTTTTTTTTGAGACTTTGAGGTCAAATCATGTCAAATCATGTCAAATCAACATCTTTCGAATTAAACAAATCCGGAATTTCTATGGTGGAATAGCCATAGACAGATCATGACAAATCCATGAATTTTAAAATCGCTTGGGACAACAGGTCGAAGGGAACTGTCCAAGTTGTGAATCTTGATCTAAATTTCCGGATATGTTTGATCACAACTTCAACCTCACTGTGACGTCACATGATGGTTTTAAAAACAATTGCAATACTAGAGGTTGGTCTGAAAATCCGGTACTGATCCAGGGATATTCTTCATCGTTTTCCCTACTATAGCGTCTGATTCCATATCGCCAGGCATCAGCGGGAAGTGTGTCCTTGGCAAAGGTGGTGTTTGCAAAGATGGGCAAAGCATCGCTGAATTCAGAGAGGCGCAGAACGGCAGAACGAATCACATGGAACCGTCTGGGACCCATGGAAATGACCCACTGATTTTGGCCTTTTCTTTGGATTAGTCGGATTAGTCGTAAAACACTGTAGAACAATAATTACCCAAGTTTGATCACTTCATGAAGCCAGGATTTGTGGCTGTGGTACGTCCAGGACCATCTGTGTATATATATATATTATATATACACATGTTGGAAAAAGGTGATATGCATGGTGATACATGGTGATAGTGATAGATTAGATGATTTTTTCATGTGGAGCTATCGCAGGTCTCGCCGTAATCCCTTGTTTTCTTATTAGAGGTCCAATAGGTCCAGTATCTTGGACCTGCCGTGCAGGTCACCAGATGAGAGTCAGCTGAGTGAGGGTCCAACAGAGGAGCCCTCCTCGGTCGCACGTGAGAGCATCATCTCCGACTCTATGGAGGTGCGAATGGATCACCATGGGGATTTTTGGACCATTTTTAGATATGTAAAATGGATGAGAATGGCATGAGAATGGCATGAGAATGGCATGAGAATGGCAACAGTTAGGTCAATTGAAGGCTTGTGATGTTCTTTAAAGATGATTTCTTGAGAAGATGATTGCGACATTTTGGCCCCCACCATTGCTATGGTTTGTTCCCTGTTTCAAAGTGCACCATGGAATGAGCCGCTTTTCTTCGACAACATTGCTTGTCGTCCCAGCAAGCCATAGCCTTGATGAGTTCTTGCAGCAACTGGAAGTCCAAAGCAAAATTCATGCGTTACCTGAAAATTGATCGAGGGTCTTTTTGTATCGCTCCATGGATCACTGTGGATATCTGTGGATCAAAACTTCAAAACTTCTCTGGATCTTACCTTCTGGTAATTTAACACAGCTATGGAAAATCACAATTTTTAATGGGAAAATCCACTATTTCTATGGCCATTTTCAATAGCTATGTTAGTTTACCAGAGGGTAGTGATCTTAGCCACTTGGAGGTACCAAGTTGGGATTCCAGCGACTGGTCGCTGGTGCTGCCAACGGACACGGCGGAGAGCTCCGAGGTGCCGCAGATGCCATAGATTTTGGTGACTCCAACGCGTTCGCTGCATATAGACATAATATATATATATATATATTATATACAATATATATATACAATATATATAATATAGATAGATATCAAACCCTTGCAGGATTTGATGAAATTTGAATCAGTTTGATAGGATTTGCATGTTCCTATTGAATTTCAGGATCCTCTGAGATGGATGGAAATATTTCGAGATTAATTCCGTGCCGAAAAATCTGATGCGTTTCAGATCCACTTGATGTTGAAGTATGAGCATGCCATCCTATCTCATGTCAGCAATTGAGTGGTGGCTTTCAGCACCTGCCACGATGATATTTTTTCGAGCAGGCATGACGAACGCGTCTATTGGATTGTGGTTCTTGCATCTGATATGGCCAATCTACCAGTTGACAGGTTCAAGATGCAAAAATGAA